TCAGAGAGCACGTGCAAGGAAGAGACGCAGACTGCGTCGCGGGCGCGAGCGGCCTTTGTTGGGTCCCAAGGCCCCGCCTTCCAGCCGTCAAGCCAGTTGAATCAAAGGTTACATAACGTCGAAGACCGCGTTCCAACTAAGGGACTAGTTACGAAAAAAGTTGCAAGACTTAGTTGCCAACTAAATTGATCCCTCACTAAGCAAAATTATCAGTTTCGTACCTGCAACAGAAAAGCAGTAGGTGGTGTACCTGCTGTTGGTAAAAATAGGTATCTAAAGGCTTGAATGATGTGAGGATTAAAGAGATGATAACTAAACGGTTGTGGTGTTTCGAGCAAAGAAGGGAGGGAGCGGATTTGAACAACTAGGGAATTCCTTAAGCCAAGGGAATTATATACCTTTCCAGCTGACATGGCATGTAATTCATGTAATTTGCCAGGTACCACTTGGATTAGAAAGAAATTGGTTAAAGGGAAAATACACTGCACAGCCAGTGCCAGAATTTTGCAGCACAACTTTTCGGCGCGTGATATTTAAAGAAGCAGGAACTGCAGCAGCAGCACTACGTCAACTGCCCAGAGACGGTAATGCAACTTATGAAACACACGAAAAATTTGTTGACACTGACGTTACAGTATGAAACCAAATGAAAATTTCAGTGTTGTTGATTTACGGTGGGAGTCATTTATTGCCCTTCCCGCGATCAGTCAGTTTTTATCGCTCCCGCCTCTCCAACGGACGGTGGAGAAACCCCTGTCCAGAAAGCCGTGGAAAGGGGGACCAAGTACGTTCCACCCCAACCACGAACTATGCTCCAACGTCAAGCGATGTACCACTGAAGAAGAACTAGAAAGCAGATACGAACTTAGTTATGCTCAAGAAAAACATCGACATTAGACACGAATCATACAGTACCGCTCATATTTTTTGGAAAAGCGACGTACAGTCGCCCAATTCATGTGACACACCGTAGCGTGACCATATTTCCTTCAAAGTGGACGAATTCTTGATCCATTCGACTCAGCTGGGTGCGGCGCATCTTCCTATATAGAAGTACTTTTTTGAACACACTAGAGACCAGATTTCAAGAATCGTTTCAGATTCTTGCTTGTAGGTTGCCCAATGAGTGCAATGAATAAAAACACTGTGTAACTTACCGTGAGCAAAAATCTGTAACGATTCGTGGAATCTGACCTCCTTCTGTGTCCAAGCGGCCACTTCTATATATCAGAAGACGCGCTGCGCCGAGCGGAGTCGAATAAGTCCCTTTGCTTGAGAAATCGTCCACTGGAGCAGGATATAGCCATGTTACGGTAATGTCACATGAATCGGGCAAATGTGCATTGTTTTTCTGAATACGAGCGGTACTGTAGTTATGCCACATTGTAACAGAATAATAAGTGAATCTTATGAATTTTTAATTATCGGTCCGACGATTTTTTGGGATGGGCGGGAGGGAGAGAGGCACGAAGATTTCTTTCAGGTTCAAGTGAATTTTCAAAAACATCCCGTTATTTTCACGGGACGCGCCCAAAAAAATTGTTTCAGAGCCACTTTATGAATTTGCAAATTTCGGTTTTTTTTTCATTTGTTTCAAATTTCCTAAAGTTTAGCTCTAACCCTGTACTGCAGAAGAAAAACTACTCAAGTGACTATATCATATGTTTCCGAGTAGACACACGTCATTTTTTCCCTGCACAACCCTGTGTGAGTTCAAATTCAACAATAAAAATTCCGAGAGCCCTGCTTTGAAAGTCTCAGCGGAGGCGAATTGAACACAAAAGTAGTCAGCTAAAGCAAACCGCTCTTTGCGGTACTATGAGCGCGGGTTTTTTTGGTAGAAGGGCCGAGGTGAGTCGGACTTGATGATTGGCCTGTTTAGAAGCCCTTTCAAAATATCTGGAGTACCCCAATTTTGACATAAGTGTCTGGTAACTAAGACACCAGTGATTGACTTTCACTTTCCTGAGTCTCTCAATTTTTCGAACACCTGCAGCCAAACTCCGATACCTCCACATATTTGAGATTTCGTGCTGATACTAGAAAATGGCCGCGCATGCGCGGCCATGCAATTTATAGGCAAGGGGGCGCCGGAAAAATAGTTCGCTGATTTTTTGCAGATATTTGGAAGAATGTCAGGCATTTTCTGCGAACGTCTAGGGGTTGTTCTCGGCGGAGCAGAGGCCGTATTTCTTTGGACTTTCCGCGAGAATAAGCAAAAATATTGAAGGACCGCACAGTCCGTAGGTACCTTCCGCTGAGATATGCGTAACCAAACCATCGATGGCACCTCTGCCGTACAAGGTCTCACCTTTGCTCGGCGTACACCCAAAATGCGTATAAAGAGTCCGAGCGCCTGCTGAAAATCTGCCCAGTGCTCGCTAAGGGAATTATTTGACGAGCGCTTGCAGAAAATTTTGGTGTTGCTGACCGCTGGCAGAACACGGAAGTGTCGTTTGCTGAAGGTTTGGCCACACCCCAAAATTCTGCTGACCGCTTGCAGAAAAGCGCGAGTTTGCGGAGCGCCTGCCCCCGGCGATTATCTGAGTAAGAATCTGCAAAACTGATGATTGTATCGTATTTCCAAAGTTTCTAGGCCAGAAGTACTGCAAATCCCCTCTCATGAGCTCTGTTCTTTTTCCTTCTGTTAAGATGGTGCGAATCTGTTCTCCCTCCTTTAGAGGTGTCATTCCAAAGCGAATGAAGCGAGCTCCTGTCAGTAGCGAAATATCTAAAGCGTCCTTTCGACGATTCTTCGGACCCCTAAACATTAGAACTTTTTCTTTCAAGACTGGCGCTAATCACCTGGCCCAAAGACTTTTGTGGGTTATGTGTTTTCAAAGCACTTGAAGGAGAAGATTTTTGAGCAAAATGATATACATAAAATTTACTTTTTAGAACATGAGTGCGATTCTACATTTACAACTCGAATCTTGTCCCCATCACCACATGGCAAAACCTAAATTGTTTCGTAGTTTCTCACAAAAACTGCATAATCCCTCGTCGACACCCATGAGATGCATAAATTTGCAGCTCGCAAAATACGGTAAAACTGACGCAAACTTCCGTTTTCTTTTGCAAAGAATCGAGCCGAAAAGTTCAAGTGGTCCCCTGATCACGAGGCATTTGCAAAAATCAAGCAAATTGTTTCCACTTCAACAGGTTTCTGACACAAATGACGCACAATTTTTTCAACGCTACAATTTTCTTTCATCAGGAAGTTTGCCGATATCCATTAGACACAAAAGTTCTTCTAAAAGGGAAGCACGCTTATTGTTAGTCGAGGTGGCCTTTTGAGATGAAATGTATACCTAAAAAGCATGAATAGCGATTTCAAACCTGCCTTCTTTATTATTACGCGTATGATGGAGAATAATAGTGAGTGTGCATCTAGGATGAAATGAGTTGCTAGAACCTTCCTAGCCTCAAAATAAAGCAAAAAGTATGGCAAATTTTCCGTCTAGAAGTATTCATTGATTAGAGTGCTCCGATAACCATCACTGTCCCATTAAGGGCTAGAAAAATATGTATCATACGATTGTGTGCTACGTACAGGGCTCCTAAATTGCAGAGTCGTTTGCAATTTAGGAGCCTCGTACACATGTGATACTTTGCTCCAGTGAACGCCCATGACTCCTCTTCATACAGCTTCCGCAAATAACGAAGGCAGATTTGGAATCAGCGTGCTACCTCCGATATGGTATGTAGCCCTAAAAAGCCACTTCGACTAAACATGCTTCCCTTGTGCAGAAGTATCGCAAACATTAACCAGTTAGTTTCTCTACAGAAGTGGTGCAAAAAGTCCTGCACACTTCCACGTACTCCTACAAGGGGATGAAGAAACGCAAATGCGCTGTATGAAAAGTTCTTTGAAAAACGACTATTTGAATTAATGATATTTATCAAAAGAAAATTTTCAAATTATTCGTTCGAAAATAAATTTGCTAGCAATTACCCTTTGATTCAACTGGATTGGCGGCTGGAAGGCGGGGCTTCGTAACCTGATTAAGCTTAGAGAATGATCATAGAGAACGTTGGCGACACAGACACAGATCGTATCGCGGGAGCGAGCGTAGCCTTCCATGCCATTTCGTTGAATCAAAGAGTACAATCTGTTCCCTGACTCTTCTCCATCCGACTCCGTGTAAGCGTATGTGCATAGGAATGCAAACGATAAAGCTGCGTTGTGAGAACAAGATATAAGGCACAGATAAAGGATAAGTATGTTATGTGAATAAGATCAATTGTTGCAGATATGAGGATGACACGCATTCTGCAGTGTGATACATAAGTCACCACGGATCATAATGAGGGATTCCAGTCCCAAGTCGCTGCTGTCAGCTACCAAGCGGCTGATGCCGCCTTCACCCGAACCACCTGCCTCCCCTGTTCGACTTCATCAGACCTCTGTAATTCATTCATGTTTTCGTGCCAATAAATCATTATACGTTACAGTATTGCTGGTTGTTATGATAAATGATGCTATACCACCGTGTCTCTACCGTTGAGTTAGCGCTTCCACGGCGCTACTTTACTGCAAACGATAAAGCTGTGTTGTGAGAGCAAGATATAAGGCACAGATAAAGGATAAGTATGTTATGTGAATAAGATCAATTGTTGCAGATATGAGGATGACACGCATTCTGCAGTATGATACATAAGCCCACATCGGTGATCATGAGGGGGTATTCCAGTGTCAAGCCTCGGCTGTCCAGCTACCAAGCGGCTGATGCCGCCTTCACCCGAACCACCTGCCTCACCTATCCGACTTCATCAGACCTCTGTGATTCATCCATGTTTTCTTGCCAATACATCAATTACATGTTACAGTATTGCTGGTTGTTATAATAAATGATGCCATACCACCGTGTCTCTACCACTGAGTAAGCCGCTTCCATGGCGCTACGTTTACTTCCAATATTTTCTCAACTTTGTGAATGAGGGGAATTGACTCCTAAAGAAGTTGGAGATGCTCTTAGCGTTTTACGAGAAAACTGACAAGTCGATCCCTATTTTCATTGATGCTGACATACTTCTGATTGCAGTGTTTAACTTGCAAAATGACGATAAGGTGACTCAGACATGAGAATCATTGACAGCAATCAATACAAATAAATGCTGATCCCATGACGAAATTGTGTCAGGACATGTCATCACATCATTCCCAACAGCCAGAACGGAGCGGGGAGAGGCCATGTGTGGTACGAGGCTATGAAGATGCGTACTTTATCACCGTCTCTGAAAAAATCATGGTATTTTTTTGATAACAGCTGCATCCTCGAAAATTCACTAGCATAAATTGAATTTCTGCACTTTACACCATTATTCTGGGAAGAAATCTTCGGGGGGGGGGGGGGGGGGAATGCACTGCCCTTTTGCTGCGAGAACCTATACTCGTGACGGGTCCCCAGACGAAAGCATGCATGGATGCAAGTGGTTTGCTAGAAAGTGTCTAGGATTTGCTTTATTGTTAGAGGGTTCAAAGATGGATTTCTCAGCTATCAAATCAATTGCGTTACCGCTTAGACCGTGCTCTGAGAGCCCCCACCCCTCCATCTGTTTCCCTTGTGAAGGCAGCGTCCCGGCAAGATTTTGCTTTCCAGTTTTTTCCTTATTCGAAGCCTTCTCGCCATGAGAAACCATATCTGGGCTTTTCAGCACATGGAAAATGGCGAAAGTGAAACTTGTTCGAAGCTTCCTAGGTCTGCATTCATTGGTAATACATCGGAAGTCTTCCGCACTCCGCCTCCCTCTTTCCGGACCCCGCCCACTTACAGTATCGTCCACTGAATGCGGACCTATAAATCTTCGGAAAACTTTCATTTTCGCCTTTTTCATGCGCTGAAAAGCTCAGGTATGGATCCCTCATGCCAAGAAGGATCAGAAAAGGTGAAAATGAAATTTTGCCGGGACACTGCCTCAAAGAACCCACGCTTCAGATCTGCCTGCGCACTCTGATTTGAGCATCGAGAACACTAGGCTTCACCACTCTACTGAAGCGACAACCAGGTAAAAAGGATTCAACGAACCTTACTCCTCCATATCCATGACACCCTCAACCTTCGACATTTTCGAGCCCATATTTTGTCGCCGACGTACAGTCTCCAAAGTGCGACCAACATGCGCAAATGCTCGATCAAAAGCAGCTTGCAACTGGAACAATGAACTCTTTATATAGCCATTTCATATCTTTTGAGGAGGAAGCAGAAAAAGACCTTTCAAACTTCAAAAACAGACTACTCCATATCATTCAGAATAATGATGTATCCCGAAGCATAAATCGCGAAATTTTTGAAATTGGCCTACTTTGACTACTGTGCAGTGAATTTCAACTCAGTTTAGGCGGAAATTGGACTGGCGGGAGTCCGCTTCGCAACGATGCATGCCGTTTTGCATTCTCATCTACCTCGCTGAGCCATTGGCGGTGCGGACGCACTGCTCCACTTGGAATGTTTCGCCTACTTCGGGTTGAAAAAGACTAGATAATGAGTTTTTTAAAATTTTTGAAAGCTCAGATTTTGTAAAATCTGCCAACCAAAACGACAACAAGATCTCAACAGCTTGATTCTTATCTCTAGATGATTTTTTTTTAGTTTTTATCCTCTTAAGCTTATTTGAAAGAAAATAGCACTTCTAAATGGAGGGGTGATGCTTCATAAAAAAAAATTCGTACATCAATTCTGTTACAACATATCGCATAGAACTGGCAGTCCAAGAAATTTGGCTTCTGCCACTCTCCCCTTCTTCAATATAGTATTATGAGTCTGAGAAAATTTCGGAGCATCCCAAAAATTCTTCTGAAGCGCGTGGCTTGCTTACGCCACGCGCTTTGACAGAAAACGAAGTCTCGTCTCCTCTCCCCCATAAAAACCATTGATTGCCCACCATATTATGAAAGGCTGTAAAGTCTGTGTCAACGATGTGTTCTTTCCGATTAGCTCAAACGTAACGCGAGAGTCCTACGTCTCGCGAGCATACCGCTTGAGCGTTCAATCGCCACATCGATCGGAAATCGCTGCGCAGTGCTCACGTGCTGCGGATGCACAGTTGCTACGGTAATAGGAGCCCATGATTGACACCGACTGTAACAACTGATGTAGGTTTCCCAAGACTTCTCTGTGAAGCATCATCCCTCCATTTGAAAGTGGTATTTTCTGTCAAGAACAAGCTCAAAAGGATAAAAACTGGAAAAATTTCTCGATGTTTCAAATCGTAACTGCGTGAAATCGTTCCGATTATGAGATAAAGATCATCAGAATTCTTTAAAATTTTCCTTCTTGTACTGAGAGCATCAATCAATTCTAGTCAATCACCAATTCGCTGAAAATCATAGACTAAGAAGAAATTCTCTGAAAATGTTTTTATCTGTAATTTTATTTGGAGATGCATATCTATCTGGAGGTGCACCGACTGCCATAAGCGAACCCTAAATGGACAGCTATGGGAGATCCATGAAGATTTCTCGCAAAAAATTGCAAAAACTAAGCTGCTCATTTCCTTAACTTTCATGACCTCCAAAAAAATTTCGCGCCAATATGCAGTCTGTGATAAGAAGACCGCTTAAAGGCAGCGGACAGGCAAAATGGACCCCTGTCAGATTTTGGTAGTTTCGGGTAGTGGACCCCCCAAGTACACCGTAGCCCCAACCCCACATTCCAATTCATGCGCTAAGTCCCGAAAAAAGCGCTTCAAAACTCCACCAGCCCCGCCCACTTCCATTGAGTGGGCGTTATTGGTGAGAGTTTGGAGCGCTTTTTTCAGGACTTAGCGCATCAACTGGAAGTTGGGGTTGGGGCTACGGTGTAATTGGGGGGTCCACTACCCGAAACTACCAAAATCTGACGGGGGTCCATTTTGCCTGTCTACTGCCTTTAAATGGAAAAGAAGTAAAACTCTCATTTAGTGGTGCGCTGAAGCCAAAGTGTTGATTTTTTAAGCTCAACTTCTTGACCCTTTGTAGATTTTCTTGGTTTTCGAATCGGGAAAGCTGGAAATCCTATCTTACCTGCTTCGTTTGATCGATGTAAGTATTCACGGCTGATAAATGAGCTCCAGAATCGTCTTCACCGTGTCTCTGAAATTCTGTGCTAAAGGCGCAATCATTTTTCATAAGAAAGCAAACAAGTTGAACGAGATCATTTGGCGATCTCACCCCCTTGGAATTTGAAAAGCCCACATGTTGATCTCCGGCTCTCATTGTGTCCTTGTCAAATATCTTTTCCATTTTGCTCATTTGTTTCTGTGTTTCACATACCAATATCTTAAGTGATGGGAAATCAGTAGGAGCATGAAATCAGAACATTTTTTCAGAAGAACGAAACTTACCAAATTCCCTTCAATCTCATCGCAAACAGCAAAAAGGTTGTCCATTGCTTTGAGGTACTCATTGGAATTGGATGGAACTTTGCCAGCGCGCAGATCCTTCAAAGCCTCACCAGCCCGACGATTTAAATCCTGAAAAAGATTATTTCCTCTATGCGATAGAAATAAAAGTGACATTGTTTTCTTAGATGAGATGGACGTTCTGGATAGAGAGGGTTATGAGACATACTAAGCTCTATAGCAGGACGACGGCGAAGGGCACATAGAAGCGAAGCGAACGCGACACGGTCTCGATCAGGTACTAGCAGCGCCTCATGCGCTCTACAAGCGATGGATCGGGTTCGCGCTCGCTTCGTTATATGAGATGCTGCCGTCGTCTGACAACGACCTCTGCATTAGAATGGATATATCCACACAAAGATTCGAAAAATACGAGTACTTTTCTATGTTAAATATGAATGTAGTCGCGCATGTCTAACAAAAGAAAAGAAGTCTGTACTTATGATAAAAAAAGCTTATTTCTGGATTGTAAAGCACTGGAAAACAATCAGGGTTACAGGCAATCATATCAGTTAAACCCACGACTATAGAAATTCGCAGATCCTTCATGATCAGTTGTTTGCTGTGAGCTACTGGATCTTGTAAGTATGGATGAGAAGGCTCCACTGCAGATGAAGACTGAGGTGCCGGCTAAAGTACAAGCATGATGGCTTCTGTAAAGCTTCGGATTCAAAACCAAACCTGATTACTCGCTGGTGTTGCTGGAGCAACCGATGCAGGACCTGGTTGGACGGAAGATGGCTGACCAAGGGTCTGCTGCGATGCAGGATTCAATGGAGTATGTGGCTGAACGGACATGGGACCAACAGAAGTAGGACCACCAACACTAGCTGCTGCCAGAGTTGATCCAGGTGCTTGCGATCCTGGACCGCCGCCTGGAGTAAGCTGCTGAAAAAGTCCTTCTTAGAAGGCGCGAATGACATCTACTGAGTTGCTCCAAAAATTTTACACTTCAATTTCGAAAATTCGCATCCTATCGTAAGATAAATTTGTTTGCTTTGAGTGAGTATTTCCACAAAGAAAATACATGTGATTCGCAGCTGGCAGCTTTTTACTGAAGGCTGGTTGCGATAAAAATCAAGGAAGCAGATTACTGCTTTGATCATCTTACAATCACCTTGTTAGAATAGCCCGCCAAAAATCAAATTGTTGCAAGAAAACCCAATTAGGCCTTCTCACCTCGTTATTCTACCTGAGCAAGGTTTGTGCTAATCGGACGCCTCTACCAAAAACTACGATTTTCAGAAACTAAATTTGACCCTCTTCGCAGACCATGAATCAGCACAAACTGCTCGGTTGGGAAGACTGAACTACAATAATTCGGGACTTCACCGCATTTGAACATTTTAGCAATCTACTTGTTGAATAAATGACTACACATTAATGTTCTTAATTGATTACCGCAAGCATTATTGTGTAGAAATTTTCACAGTATCATTGCAAAGTAGATAATCATCTCTTGCTAGCAAAATCAGCACCAAACAGATCCGTCGATTTCCAAAAAAATACAAAATTCATAGAAAGGAATGATAGTCTTTTGGATCAACCCAATATATTGCTGGGTTGTGCTGAGCCGCAAGAATGCAAAAATTCCCTTCCGCCTAAAACGGAACTGATTGTACCTTTATGAAAGAAAAAATTACAAGGAAGAACGTGGAAACGCTCACCGGTCCCACCGAACCCGCTGCCGTCATCGGACTTCGTGGTTGCTGCATCTGCATGTGTTGCTGAGATACCGAACTCACTGGACCACCAAGCATTGATCCAAGCTTCAAAATGTAATACGTGTTCGGAAAAGAACAAAGGCATTCAATCGCATCCAATGTGAAACGAAAAAACCTTGCCCACATTAATCTCTCGTTCTTATGCAATTCATTCATTTGTGCATATTGTAGCCGCATGATATTAGCACAATACGATAAAGACATTAAGATGAGGAAGTGTTCACAGTATCAACCTCTCAACAGCACATGACTTCCGCAATGCTGTCCAGAGCTACAAACTTGATATTACTTATCTTTGAAGGTAAAAATCCTATCATGTATGGCGATTTAGTATGGCGATTTGAAGAAAAAAACGAAAAAACTTATAAGATACACGTTCATTTAATTCAGGTTTGTGCTGCAACACTAGAAAAAAATTCACGCTACGTTAATTTTCCCCGTTTTACTTAAGGAAGAGGAACACAAACAGCTTCATCATAGCTTGAACGATATCAATGGTGCCTTAGTGGCATTTTTCGAAAAAAAATTTCAAAAAACCTCTCCCACGTCCTGCAAACTCTAACTCAAATTTTAGCGAAGCGGCGTGTTCACCCTGCCCTAATTTTAGCAATATTCTGCAAAAATGCTCCAGTCGTCGCTAGCGAAAATAAGTATCTTTCATAACACGTGTAGACCGCTCCTAAGATCGAAGGCAGACCGAGAACAGGCTGCTAAATTTTTGAGAGCAACATGAGCTATAGTTATGCAGATTAGTTCTATTCGTGAATGACATAGAAATTTTAGGTACATTCATGATAAAATCAGTTGTGAAAAAATCTCGAAGGTGCGGTCTCCGCCGCAAAAAAAAATGTGTGCGACTTGGATTGCAGCTGATTACGCAAACGTTTCGGACGTTATGATAAACTTGCACCTGACTCATATGAGTACTGTTGGTATATAATATTATATTTTTATGCATGGTTCGCATCCAAAAAACTGACATGAATTCGACTTCGCTTTTGAAATCTTGAGCATAATTTTTGCAACACATCCACGCTATGAATTGATGCTGATCGAGAACGAGATAATTTCAAAGTACCGCACCTGTGACTGCCCCGAGAGCATAGATTGTTGACCCATAGGTGGTTGTCCTTGTTGAGAATGTGGAGGTTGCTGTACTGCTTGTTGCTGCCCCATTTGTTGTTGTCCCATTGGCTGTTGACCCATTTGCTGTTGACCCATCTGCTGCTGAACCATTGGCTGTGGCTGCATTCCCATTTGTTGGCCACCAAGCTGTTGCTGTAGACCCATCTGCATGGGCTGCTGATGGCTCATGGGCTGTGTCGGCTGTTGCTGCTGTTGAAGTTGGGGCATCTGATTCATCTGTGGCTGGCCCATTTGCATCTGTTGTTGTTGAGAAGCATAATGCATTTGCATTTGTCCTTGCTGCTGAGGCATACCGCCATCTTGGCCGTACATCTGCAAATAATGTAAATTAATTCCCAAAAGTTCTTCAAAAGTCTAAAGTAAAACAGAAGCTTACTGTAGCAAATGACGCAAATGTAACTATGTGCGGTGGGACTAGAAAGTCGATTTTTTGTCGATATTTGCAACTGCACAAATTATGAGAATGACGATGACACAGTCTGTGTCAATATTGAGGTGGAGGAACGAACATCTCAATTAGGCACCGCCTCCGAGGACTACTTGCACGATGCACAATAGTAGGACGAAAGTATCAGCAGGCCGCGGAGCGGGATCGCATCTCTGTGCATATCCAAGGGTGCGCATTTGTTGCAAATGACCCCACGGGCCGCCCCTTTTCGGCGAAATATAGTCCTCTATCTACCCAGATGTTCGTTCCTCTACCCCACCCTGAGGCCGCTCATGACAAACAAGGAAATTGCCGTGCGCGTGAAGCGTTAGGACAAGTTATCAGGATAGTGCCGGAGACCGTCCGTGCGAAAAGAACCGTCTACCCTCGCAGTATCATATCATATCAGATCGGTACGCCCACACATGGCGCGAGATCTTGCGGAGCGGACGCGTTATAACGGTAGGAAAAACCGATACGTATTGACACAAACTATACACTGCATCTCAGGGAAGAATAACGGAGACGAAGCAAAAATTCTGCTTGCAAAAATTCGCATCTGTCCTCTTGAGTATCTAGGGAAAGCATGCATTGCCGAAGCAGGCGTGAGAACTTCAAATGCTACGCATGCGATGACGGTACCAGCGTACTAACAAAATTTGCACTCAGAAATACATAGCTGAAAGCCTATTGGAGGATGAGACAGACGGTTTCGAAATTTCACACTTGGGTCGTACTTGTGTGGAGGGGAAATGGCGCCAGATCGAGCAAAACTTTTTGGATTTATGAGTAGCCCTGCCTTCAGCAATGATGATGCTTTATGCAGTGATGACGCAATGGCGAAGCATGCATTCCACTCAATCTGCTCGTCATGGAGCGTCGTCCGGTTCCCATTGCCAAAGGCAACTTCATCCCCTTCGCTATTGGCTGAGTCAGTGAACCGACCTATAGTGAAGCGGATGTCCACTTGAAGGCAGCGGCTCGGCAGAATGACAGCCTTGAGATATCCATCGTTCTCGGTTCCCTTGGATGAGCTAAGTCCAAGACTGTGCTTTGCAGCTTCCAAAGTGTTCAACAACCCGCTTGTCCAGGCTTAAAAACTGCTATGCCCGCGCTTTAGAGCGCATTGACTCATGAGTAAGGTGGGTACGGTATGTCCACGCACGAGCCAATCGCGCTCTAGAGCGCTGGCTTACGCGGTCCGCCCAAATAGCACTTTTGAAGCCTGGAAAAGCGGCTTATTAATATCTTTTGGAGCTGCAAAGCACAGTCTTGGACTTAGCTCATCCAGGTGAACCGAGAACGATGGATACCCCAAGGCTGTCATTCTGCCGAACCGCTGCCTTTAATTCTCTTGATCCGCTTTCACCTTCGCTATTGATCACTTCACTGTTTTGACCAAATGAAGTGGTTGAAGGGGGTCAGTGCCAAACGTGCACATCAAGAGCAACTACATCACCCAAAAACTTTTCGCTCTATCCCAAGAAAGCTGCATCTAATCCACTTCACGAGCTTTCGAACCCACTTCAAAATCAAAACAGTGAGAAGACAGAAAAGGTAAACCGAGATCAGTAGGCTCTTATACGTTGACGCGAAAGAAAGTCTATGGGAAAAAAAAAACAACACATAGGCTTAGAACTGTCAGTCCCAGCCAAAAGAGGAGAACACTTATTCAAGATAAAGATGGTAAAACGAGTACGAAATGATCAGTTCCAAACGTTAATTCCAAAAGTAATTTGCTTATAAGGCATTCGAAAAATCGTGACACTGGCGCGACCGCGCGCGACACGCACGCACTTTCGTTTCTTGGTTTCTAATCTCTACTGGGATGGTTTTTCTGCTTGCACATGATAGTACTCAGACACTGGAAGTAACTGAGCTGGGCACTAAGTTGATGCCTGTCTATATGAGTGTTTTATCCCCTTGTGTGCGCAAAGGCCGCAGTCAAACTCGTCGTCACGATTTTAAGAATGAACCATACATGCATAGCATCTCATCAAAATAAAGTTGTGATCATTCCCGCCTCACATAATCCGAAACAACAACCCGAATGAGCACAGGGTAAGTGTCGCTATGCTGCGAACAAGACTAACTGAGGTTAGTTACGTTCTGTGTTTTCTCAGAAACGGCTCCTCAAACAAACCCTGCGCTATACTATGATTGGAATAATGATCTATAACTGAAACTTTGCAAAAAGAGAATTACATTCAAATTAGTGTGCTGAACTAACTGGGTCCGGATCATTTTCGAACCGTCACTTTGAGCTTGTACCTTTTTCAGTCGATAGTTACAGAAAATATCTTCTTGTGGTCTCACCTGCCGCTGTACGCCCATTTGTCCCATCGGTCTACCCATCATGTGTTGCTGACCATACATCATCTGTAAGTATTGAGTGTTAACCGTGTTGTTGAAATGAAGCCGAGCTTTGATCACCTGCTGCTGTTGCATGTTCGGAGGTTGTCCATATCCGCCCTGTTGCCCAGACATAGCACTATAAATATTTGGCTCTCAGTATAACAAAAGCGAAGAAAAGTAAAGTAAAAAAGGCAACAAATTCATATGCAGAAAACAACTGCGTAAAGAGATATCATTTGAACAAGGTGATTTGCAAAAGAAACAACCGCACCACCAGTAACAATCCTGCACTTTGCACAACCCTGCGATGATATACCGCGTCAAGCTTGGTGATTTCGTGCTAAATTCCAAATGGTGGGAGTGAAATGCACAATCTAATGTGATAAGAGTGAACATGCACAGAAGTGCCGTACCGTAACCTAATCTCCCAGTTCAAAAGTAGAATACTGCAAGTCAAAATCTCGAAATATTCATTCGGTACAAATCAGATATGCTCCGTAAATACATCAATCAAATAACATTTATTCATATTATATTAATTTAGACAAAATTCCTGCGACACAAAGAAAATTAAGATCAATATTCACGTAACAGCAGGTATAGCATAGACATTGATGAACATCATTTCTCAAGTTGACTATGTAGGCCAACTCGCTCAAGTGAAACACAAAACACCGAGATGAACACCATACACGGAAATATTTTTGTGTATCACTGCTCGTAAACTACATCAGAACAACTAAGATCAATAGTTTAAATGAACAATGTATGTGAAAGGACGAGGGAAACAAACAAAACAACAAATGAGTCAGGCATAATCATTACTTAGTCTCCTTTTCCTCAACCTTAGCCTCCGCTTTCTGCGCCGGCTCCTCTTTCTTAGGCTCTTCCTTCTTCTCCGTTGATGTATCACCTTCACCTTTCTTCTCTTCTGTTTTTTCACCTTCCTTCGCTTCCGATTTCTCGTCTTTCTTGGCTTCATCATCATCATCTTCCAAATCAGGCATATCTTCAAAGGTTTCCATTAACTTAGGAACAATGCGAAACTAAGGTAGAACACAATGAACGTACCACCGTCATCATCATCATCATCGAGGCCATCGAAGTCAGGAGCACCACCTCAAGGGAAAAAAAATTAACTGCCGCTTAAAATGAGTGCTGACAAAACTCACCACCGCCTCCCATTTGATTCATATATGAGTTGAGATCGAATCCTCCGTCACCACCGAATGGCATGCCGTCATCAGCTTCATCATCATCCTCGTCCTTCCACTTATCAAAGTCAACTTTGAGCCAATGCACCTACAAAAAACAAAAGTTAGATGTGACGGTTGGCTATTCCTGCGACGCTAAGATATTGTTGAACTATCAAATCCGAGTTAAAAGTAATGCTAGCTGGAAAAATTACAAGGTCGTGTTACGCAACTCTCAAAATCACTTCGAAGATTTTCTCAAAAATAAGAGGCAACGTTTCTCCAACTGTACCTATTCCGTTTTCTATCTAATTATGCTTCCGCTCTAGCAGCTGCCGATGTTCGCACAAGCGACACAGATCAAGGCAAATGAAAAGCACTTGCAAAATAGCCCTTGGCAAGTATAAGAAAAGGATGTAGACCGGTTCTGCTGCACGCGAGTAGCAATCAAATTCACCATGTATCTGCGCGATTGCTAACTGCAAGAACTTCTGTTGTCGTAATCTAAGGCCCGTATGCACGTACATCCCCGCGGGGAGGGGATGTGCGCTTAACCATTGAAATGATCCCCGCTGGGGATCCCCTCCCCTCCCCGCGCGAACCCCCTTATGCATAAAGACAATATCGGACAAGGGATCCCCTGTGGGGAGTGGAAGTGAACCCTCTTATGCACAAGAGGGGATCAAGCGGGGAAATCACCTTGCTTTCAAATTTTCTATGAAAAACACTTTCTTATTTCATATTTTGACTGCAGCTCATCTTCATCTCCTCACTTTCATTAATTTAGGGTTGCGGAATGCGCGTATGCAGTGACTGGGCTCGGGGCACTAAAAATGATTTTTTGTACTCCCATTATGTTCCTGCTTTCTTGGATGCTGCCCACTTTCGCTCATGCTGCTCCATTTCAGCGTAAAAATGTTGAACTATAGAAGTTGATGTGTCTCTGCAAGGGAATGGGTAGAAGACGTTATGCCGCCGAAAAGGGGGGGGGGTGCCGCGCGGACGCTCAAAGCAGTATTCTAACACATAACAGAAGCTGCAAATTGTGCCAGCTCTCCATAAACGCTGTAGCTATCAGCTGCATATCGTCCTTTGTCCCAGGGGAATGATCCCCAGCAGCGATCCCTACTATGCACAAGGGGAACGCTGGGGAGGGGATCACTCCCCAGGGGATTTCTACTCAGAAATAGGCAAATATGCTACTTTCTAGATTTTTTCGAGGCAGCTTATGTTAAAATAACAAGATAATGGCAACATGTCATGAAATATGAAAGTTACAATGTGTTTACTCAGCCTATATAGTTAAAACTATTATGTTATATGAAAAATGCGCAAATTTCCTGAATGATCAAGAACTCCTACAAATAATCGAAAATGGCAGCTATTGTTGCTCGGATTTCTTCTTAAGAGGCGAATATAGAAAAGAAAGACAAATTGCAAGCCACAGGTCGCTGAGAGAAGAACCCGGCTTTCAAAGATAATCCTTGAAACCGGTCTAAATAAACCGGTCTACATCCTTTTCTTATACTTGCCAAGGGCTATTTTGCAAGTGCTTTTCATTTGCCGCTTAGGTGCAGGGGAGGGGAGCGATCCCCTCCCCTCTGTCATGGCGGGGTTCGGCGGAGGGGATCGTTCCCCTGGGGATCCAGCTCCCCTCCCCTCCCCAGCGGGGACGTACGTGCATACGGGCCTAAATGCTTGCAATTATATCCCTCTCCAACTTTTCAGTACATTTTGTTTGCTGCTGAAGAGCTTGAGCACTGAGCTGCTTGACTGATATATGTCCAGAAAGGTTTTGAACTATGAAAATAGAGTACGCTGTTGTTCCCCAGGAAGCAAACAAAAAATTTAAAAAAAATACACAATTTTCTGTTCAGCTAAGTCGGAAGTACTTAGACAAACGTAATGATAATAACTAGTGATAAGAGGATGATAATAAATTTAACATATAATCGACTGTATAACCAAAGAACTTTTGATTGCTCAACATCTGTAAAACTATTCCCCATGAGCCCAAAAAAGTCTTTTGATGAACGATTACAGATCTGTTGAACATCAAAGTGAAATGACTGGGAGCTTAAAAACCATATCATACTCTTTCGACTCAATCAAATGCTGCTTGTGATATTCAATGACATTGGCGCAATCACAAATTCTTTTCAGATGACAAAGCAAGGGCATTTTACAATTATGAAGGGCACTGAGTTGGACGTTACCGCCGAATATTATATGAATGTTGAAAATCTGACCAGACTAATATAACGTTTATCAACCTTGCTGAATATTTTCAAAGGATATCGTATCATCACTATGCCAACATTTACCGAAACATATTACAAGTAACATCTCTATGAGTGCTTGCTCAATCTATGCGTAATGCACTATCCCCTTACCAAAGCAAGCAAACGGGTCTAGCACCATGATAATACCCTGCCCAATTTAGAACCAATTTGAACCTTCGGAAATAATGCACACTCAGCTCAGATACGAGCACTGAATTTCGCTAATCAGATAGTCATGATGAGGAAAAGGCAGAACTGACAGAAAAAGAGCTAAAAAGTCTAAAATAATCGTAACCCGAGCACGTTCCTAGAGAGAATTGAAAGAATGCCAAAGGCTGAGCCCACTCCCTTCAAAAATTGCTGTCCCAAACTATACCCTGAACCAGCGTGCTAACGCTACATGGTAATCCAGAATTTGCATAGATGTAGGACTAACAAGGGAACGATACTCAATGTCCGTGGCCCTTTGAGACGAGATATATACCATTACACTCGCCTTCGAACGCTGATTCCGAATCTGACTTCCGTTTCTGCTAATCGCTTCTCTAAAAGAAGTTATGGAGGAATTTCGAGCCAACTTTGGCCGCCTAAGGGTATGGTCACCAAAACGGCCTCTACCGGCGCCACGTTATTGTCTAGTGGTTAGCGTGATAGCCTCATAACTTGATGCAGATGTAGGTTCATCGTTTTGTGTTTTTATTTTGCATTGCCTCAATTAAACTTGTTCGAGATTTACTCGAATTATGATCATTGCATACATTTCAGCTGCTCATATAATAGTCATTTTTTCCAAATTTCCACATTTTTCGAAGAGCAAAGGCGTTCAGTAAAGATGCGAAAGAAGGTATATTGTGGCACTGCAAAACTGAAACACAAGGAGATTCGAAACTACACCTGCATCAACCCATGAGCCTATCGCACTAACCGCTAGACCACACCGCACAGTTACTGCTGGCGCTCCAAACGTATTTCAGTGGGCAGCCAAAGCCCTCACAATCCTTTATAACATCTTTGAAGCGATTAGCAGAAACGGAAGCCAGATTCGGAATCAGCGTCCCAAGACGAGTGTTATGGTATATAACTCATCTCAAAAGGCCACGGACACCAAGTATCGTTTCCTTGTAAGTGCCGCGAATCACCATAGGAACCATAATTGGAACTCAAAAAGAAAGATGGAAAAGCTGAGCCTCACCTTTCCTTTCTCCTTCAAAAGCCTTGGCCACCATTTGGACTCTTTCTTGGGGATAGTCAACTCGATGACTCGCGTATTGGTAGGTGTACGCTTCATACCTTCACCGTTAATTTCAGCAAAGAATTCCATAGTTGTCTCATAAACTTCAGTATGGCTTACACCCCTGAAAAGAATGACAGTAGAGAAATCTTTGGGAAAGTCTGATGCAGGTCGATAAGTCGGTTTATAAAACTGAAGGTCGCATTTGACTAACTTAAAATGCAGCTTTGACGCATCAGCTGTGAGATCCTCCACTTTAACATCATCGATTTGAATAGTAACATACAGAAATGATTCCCTTTGAGCCCAAATGACTGATGGTTGACGGACAGCCATTCTAAAATAAAGTGAGACGATGATTTCGATCTACGCTCTTGGAAGTCTGAGAAGCGACGAGACTTGATTCTGATTGAGAAAACGTTGATGACGGATATATTGCCTCCGAGGAAACATATCGCTATCCGAAAGAAAATGAATTGCGAGATATAGATCATATGGGATTTAATCATGAGTTCAAGCATTACTTGACTAGCACAGCTTCTCCTCACTCATGCAAATGGCCCCACTTTCTTGTGAACTCCGCAGGAAGCCAGATTTGGCATGAAATTCATCCTTTCCAACTTTCTTAGCAGCTACAAGCTACTACTTACATGTGTAGTAAAGCAACGGCATGGCCTTAAATTAAATTCACATCATCCCCGAACGGAAGGTATGAATAATTCGAGGTACTTGCAACTTTCAAGGATTTCCACAGATTGACGCATTGATTGTAGATGCCCCTAATACATACTAAAAGTTCAAAAGCACCATACCCATAAACAGAGAACAAGCTGCCGCAAAAGTAAATAAATCCACACTTATCGCTATCAAAATCCATAACCCGCGCATTTGAAACTTTATTAAAGGACGCCTTCTTCGAGAATATCTTCCCGGTGTAGGACCCCCTACACGTTTTTCAACGTTTCCTTGACAGGTTTTGCGATTTGCTGATTGCGGGAAAAATGACGCAAGCTGATGCAAGCTCTTTTTTTGCTTCCACATGCGTTTTCTCATAGTGAGACTTGTTTTGGTTGCTCTTACTCTTCCAGTCAAACATCCGTCTTAGTCACGGTGGTGGTAAGCTACATCTTCAAATTGTAGGCTTATTTACGAGGTCCCAATCGAAAAACGCCCGAAAGAGCTCGGCGAAAGTATCATTTTTGATGTGAACAGTATTTTTTTGCAGCAAAAACCCGCTTAAACTGAAGTAAATTGGTTGCTCTGTGAGATACCTAAAAAGTCATCAAGTGTTGAATCTTCTTTATTGCCGGCTGATTCGTTGATTTATATTCCAGTTCGAACTTTGGGGTGCCTAGCATCTGTTGCTGAGATAGACCCGCCCGGAAAAGTTGCGAAAATAAGCGTTGTTGGTTCCGAAACAGTCATAGTTTTACATCTGATTTCTACGTGGATAATAATATAAATGCTGAAAGTTCGGATAAACGTTACCAGCTGATATACAAAGTCTTTTCGATGAATCATCGGTGCTAATTATGCGTAAAAAACACTCTCTGAAGATTGTGGTGCCAACTAAGCACCTACTTTCAAACGAAATCTGGATTTTGACTTCCATTTGGAAGTGCCTGTCAATCAATCAGAGCTGTATCTATTATATTTATTTTGTGACGTACCTTCTCATTCGACTGGTCAATTTACATTCACTGAACTATACGGTTTCGCACTTTCCTCCCATTAACCGATAGGTTGAGGCCCGGCCAAACGATCTGTAACTACTAACTCCTTGTTTCCTGTGCTCTTGTGATTTCTGTGATTCCCATTGAACGCAGTGGCTCGAAAACTTGACCCTTCGATTTTGATGGTGTCAGATAGGAGACCCTTCAAGTACAGCGTATCCGGCCCCAACCTTCACTTGCGTACACACGCCCACATTCGGTGGGTGGGCGTGGTTGGTTGGACTGTGAAGCACGCTTCTAAAATTTGGCGCATGCAGGATGGGATTGATGTGCAGTACTTGGAGGATCCACTACTTGAGAACATCAAAATCTGACAATGCGCATTGTGGTGGGACTGCCTTGAAGCGCGAGAGCTGCGCCTTCACAAGGCCGGACTCGCGAAAATGACAGAAATTACTGGAATCTTCGAAATTACCGGAATCTTAGATATACTAGCTGTAATTTTGTAGCTTTGCGCTTTGCTAAACTTTCTGTTTCAGAACCTTGGGCTCCGCCTCTTATTAGGGCAGTGATGTTGTCGGATGGTGAGAAGAAGCTAAGCAAGAAGTAAGTGATGCTTATTGGAAACTTGGTGCGCGGCGGTTCTTCCGCTTTTGCGCTTTCTGTCGCGCGCCATCTCTCTTCCGTTCATGGCAAAGGCCGAAGGTCAGTTCTAGCCTGTTTTGGGATATGGGCTAACGTTTAGTCGTAGGACTAGTTCTCTCCATCTCTTTATCTACGACTAAGCATTGCCTCATTCCTAAAATATGCCATCTGACCAGAGTTTTCCAGAAGAAAAAAGGGACTAACTATTTTTTTCTAGCGAACAGAAAAGGCTAGCGAAGCAAGCGCAGAAAGAGAAGGAAAGGCTGGAAAAAGAGGCAAAGAAAAATGCGGAAGCTCCGAAGGCAGGAAAAACAGAAAAGGTTGCATCGTCTATCCCATAATTTATCAGTTTATTTTTCTTTTTCAGCATGTCAAAGAGGCTGATCCGTCTGATCCTCAAGAATATTACAAAATGCGAGTTGAAATGATCAACAGCCGAAGGGCAGCTGGCGATAATCCATTCCCTCACAAGGTAAATCTGTAACGATTGCTTTCTTGCGCGCGTACCAACTTTCTGCTGTACAGTTCAATGTGACATCATCGATAGCGGCATTCATTGAGAAATATGAACATTTGAAGAACGAGGAAGTTTTGAATGATGTACGGGTCAGCATTGCTGGTAAGATTTTGAAAATCACTCTTGTTACCGCTTTCTTCTGCTTTCCTTTCTTGATCTCATGGTTGTGATCACTTACAGGACGCATTTACTCAAAACGTGAATCGGGTAAGAATCTAGTCTTCTACGATGTCCACAATGGTGGCACTCGTCTCCAGGTAGGTCATACTCGAACTTCTACATTTTCATCTCATTGACCTTCAAAGGTTTCTTTTTATCACTGCAGGTCATGGCAAACGCTAGGTATCATGCTGCTGGTGCTGAAGACTTTAGCACGGTGCACGAACGCATCCGACGTGGAGATATCGTTGGATTCAGTGGTCATCCTACAAGGTAGAGTGGATGACGATGCTCTTATTTTTCTTTTTCTTTTTGGTTTCCCATTTTTCTTTGCTATATTTCTGTTTTGCGAGTGAACATTACTGAATAATTACGTAATTTCAAGTTTTTCCCTGTGTGTTTGATTTTTGCCTCTTATTGTAGCTCTATAGTTGCAACTTCTTCACAAAAACTAGCTCTCGCTATAGTCTTTGCAGTCGATTGCTTTTCTCAAATGTCATTGTGGCGTTTCCGATGCTCATTTATCCCTTTCTTCCTGGAAAATTTTCGTGCCTGCGCCCTTAAAAATACCAGCTTTGAACAACCCCGTATGATCGATCAAATGCTCATTCAAAATAAATAATGTTCAGGAGTAAGACCGGCGAGCTGTCATTATTGCCTGTCGAGGTGGAACAGCTCACACCATGCTTGCGCATGCTGCCACATACCCATTATGGTCTCAAAGACAAGGAGCTTAGGCAAGTATATCTGCTCTTGGACCGCATTTTTTTTTCTTATTTTTTTATTTACTGAAAAGATAAGCAGACTTCAGGTATCGTATGCGTTACCTAGACCTCATTCTCAACCCACAAGTGAAAGATAAGTTTGTGGTACGTAGTAAACTCATCACATTCTTGCGAAGGTATCTCGACAACCTGGGCTTTCTGGAAGTAAGCTGTTCTTACGTTCTTAAATTTTTATTTGAAATTTGTTCTTTTAAGGTTGAAACTCCGATCATGAACCAAATTGCTGGTGGTGCTACTGCAAAACCATTTGTTACCCATCACAATGAGCTAGATATGGATCTCTTCCTGAGAGTCGCTCCTGAGCTTTACCATAAGGTGATCGTTTAGAATTAGTTCCATAAATCAGCTGAAACTCGGTGTTTCGTTCAGATGCTAGTAGTTGGTGGAATCGATCGAGTTTATGAAGTTGGCCGCTTGTTCCGTAATGAAGGCATTGACATGACGCACAATCCTGAATTTACAACTTGCGAGTTCTATATGGCATATGCTGATTACGAGGATCTAATACGATTAACTGAAGATCTGCTCAGTAGTGAGTTTTCTGCTTAGATTTGCTTTCCGTTTTTTGCCTCAAGTTGGCAAAAGTCTATTCCATACTTTCTTTTCTTGTGTAGATTTATATGAACTTTCGGATTTTTTTTACGCAGACAATACTTGCGCTTTGTTAGCTGGGTTTCTGAATGTACAGAATTGTTTGCGCCAAAGCAGTTCTACTCCAAAAATTTACAAAATACATTTTACATCACCGTCCTCGATTAAAACTTGCACTATTTCTGATAGACAGAGTGATCCATGCGTAAATTATGTCATGATGTGTATCTCGTCCTGGTCCCATGGTTTCAAAGCAGTATCGCTGATCTTGCTCAAAACTGTCGAATCAAAATGGATCTCCTCTTGCTTTTTCTCCAAGTTATCAGAAACGAAAAGATTTTATGTAATAAAAGATTGTTTTCAGAAATGGTCATGTTCATTCACGGTACATACAAGATCGTTTACCATCCGAATGGACCTGGAGTCGAACCAGCTATGGAAGTATGTTGTTTATTTTGAGTTCGAAATCTTCAAGATGATGTGGTCCAATATTCTAGATTGATTTCACTCCACCCTTCAAACGTGTGAACATGTACGAAGGACTAGAAAAGGCTTTGGGCGTGAAGCTACCCTCTCCGGATACCCTGAAGACAGAGGGTGGGTAGTTGAGCTTTATCCTGAAGACATTAACATATGCGCAATATCCTCACTGGCCTGCTCATATGATGCGTTTCTGGGCTTTAATGATGACTTGCTGAAAAACATTTGATTCTAGACTGATCCTTTTACCTTATATACTGTAGATGGGTTTTTTGCAGAGTCTCGCGAATTTTTCGATAAGCTGTGCCGTGACAAAAATGTGGAATGCGTAGCGCCGCGAACAACAGCTCGTCTCCTGGATAAGCTGGTGGGAGAATTCCTTGAGAGCACTTTCATATCGCCTACATTCCTCATTGGACATCCACAAATAATGAGTCCTCTTGCCAAATGGCACAGGTAAGTAATTTAAATTTCTTCCCAACAACAAGATGTTCATCTCATGATTTTCTGTTCAGATCGGTTCCTGGTCTCACTGAGAGGTTTGAGTTGTTCGCTGCAACAAGAGAAATTGCTAATGCGTACACGGAGTTGAATGATCCCATCAGACAAAGACAAAGCTTTGAACAGCAAGCTGCTGTAAGTAATCCCTTTCACTCTTTGTTCCTGATTAGTGATTTTTTTCGAATTCCAGGACAAGAGCGCTGGAGACGACGAAGCTCAGTTGATTGACGAGAATTTCTGTACTGCCCTCGAATACGGGCTACCACCTACTGCCGGTTGGGGAATGGGAATTGACCGCTTGACCATGATCTTGACTGATAGCAACAATATTAAGGTATGTGGTCTCATATTGCTTACATTCTGTTGACAGCCAACGCGATTTTTGGGATTGAGTTGACAGCGGCTTTGGGCTGCTGCCACACGGTCTTGTTAGTTCAAAGGCGGATTAGTTATCTATACGAGCAAGCTCCGTTCTATTTTTGGCCAGAAGCTTTGCTGTAGCCGCTCACCTTGGAAGTGTTTAGTAACATCCCTTACAAGTTTCGCCTAGTAACGCAAAAACTCAATGGGTTTCTCTGCAGTGGGTCTCAATGGGTCTCTTTTCGTAGGTAGAGAGATCTGTCTACATCTACAGAAGATGGGCAACTGGGGTTGATCCAGATTATCTGCTGGGCTTGCGATTCCATTTCGGTAAATGTTCATATGTCAGGGTATCCACTCGTGTATTTGGGACTGACAACATCGCTAGCGCTCTCCTCTCCATTATGAGCGCTATATGCACTGACTGTTTGTTAAGCACTTCAAAACGTCCATCAGCACTGCTCGCTTGCGCAGATCATCAAACAGTCCTCTTGGAAAGCAAGGGCCTTCTATGACTGCATCAGATGGTGTTGGCGTTAAATTTATCCCATAACTGACCGTCATCGCGTACAGTTTGAGCATTGGAAGTTGTTGCAGTACAGATACTCGGAGAGCCATCAAGTGTGGGATCGGAAATCATGGGATTCAACAAAATTTTCGCGGCATAGGCACCCGCCATATTTGATCCACTTGCTTCGCTTCATCCACTTCGCCTTAGATCAGATCAACAAACTGAAAAATGGCGAAGTGGATCAAGCGGATCAAGTGGGGGTGGTGCAGGAGGAACCAAAGGGCTACCGCCTGTATCCGCAGGAGATAATTAAGGACGCGAGCGCTGTGGAGAATATTTTGGCAGGGATACAAGAAAACTCGGCAAGGATATCCTTTAGGAAGAAATCTTCATAACTTCGCCTGGAGATGACTTTGAAGAATTCGAAGAACAAAATTGTAAAGGAAATTGCAAAGCGCATTCACTGGGCCTAAAAGTAAATTAAAATTTGGAATTGTAGTGGTAACAAAAGTCACCTACCTTATAGAAACTTTTTGTTTTGAATTTTGAAGTTTCAAATGATTGAAGTCCGGGGTTTTCTTTTGAAATTCATTCTTTCTTCTTCGAGATAAAGAATTATTTTGCCTTTTGATACAATGAAAAGCAATTAAAATGTCATAAGAACACATCTGGAGGTTTGTGTCAAGATGCAATATGCAGTTTGTCTCATAGCTTCAAACCATTCTAATTTTAAATTTTGACATTAGAGACTTCATAGGATTTGCCATTCAAACTAAGTCGTAATCTAGGTCGTACACAGTAGCAAAAGTTCATCACATGCAATCTAGTTAACACTATTTATTTATTACCATTTCATACTTTCAATTTCGTATCCAGAAATTTCACTAAAATTCAGTTGAAATTTTCACCCAACATTAAGCTTGAAATTTCAGTTTAGATGAATTTTGAAGGCACAGTTTTTGGTAAAAATCGTTGCGAGACAGAGTTGTTCAACTATCCGGTAAGCGTATTATTGAAAAATGCGCATTTCAATACTGATTTCGAATCTGTCCTTCGTATCCTTGAAACTTGATTCCAAGGAGAGCTATAAGGGTTTGTTTTCAATGGATTTCCTCGCCAAGTTTTCCTGGATCCTTGCCAAAATCTTCTCCACAGCGCTCGCCCTCCTAATTATCTCCTACGGCTACAGGCGGCAGGCCTTTGGTTTCTCCTGCACCGCATCCGGATCAAGTGCATCCGCTTTTTGGCCAATTCATTGATTCGACCAATAGCGAAGTGAATGAAGTGCATCAAGCGTTTAAAGTATGGCGCGTGCCATACAAGTAATTATCATGCGAATATAGCTGGCATCACTCACTGCTGGCGATTGTGTGAACTAATCTCATTGAGAAGTTGTGATTTTTTTTTGTACTAACTGTGATGTCCCACATATTCATATTTAAGACTGTTTTGAACCTGACATAATATTTTCCAGGACGTTCTCTTCTTCCCAGCTATGCGACCGGATGAACAAGGGCAATCGTTGGAGAATGGGTTAGAAAATGATTCAAATTGTTGAATCTGCTTCTTTTGTTATTCTGGTGTTCTGTTTGTTTGGGTGTGTTAAATTACGATGTTAACGTGCGGTTAATTAAACGTTGTTGCTGTGGTTCATTAATGATTTCTTCGACTTTTTTCTTTGTTACTTCTGTTAAGATTTTGTTGCTTGGACTGCATAAAATGAGTAGGTTTTGTTATTATATGTTTGAAGGGAGCATGTGTGCTAATATAATAAATCGCTTTTTATGAATTTGCTGTCCAGTTTGATAGGTCATGTGTACCAGACGGACATTCAACTTTTTAGTCAAAGAAGGCTTTTTTGGCATTTATATGCATCTGATCTTGTTTGTAAAAGAATGGTATTAATCAGAAAAAATCTGGATTATTGACTGCACCATCTGAGGGCTTCGGGTCGTGATTGACGTGTAGCATGAATTTATCATGATGGCGTGATATACTTTTACTTAGCAGAATCTAGGGAAATAGCAGTTTCTGCCAAGGGGAATTTGAGGGATTAAGACAGCTTAGAACTGCTATAAAATCATTATTTTGCGATAAAAACTGATCGGTAATGTTAAGTGTTTGATGTGTCAACAACCAAGAATGTCTAACATAAATTCTGCAAATATATTCAATAAGATTTTATATGAGACATGCAAATATACAATTCACCTTATACAAAGTACTTCACAAAGTAGGAGAAGTAATACTGAACACAACAAAGGCGAGCACAAAAGCACTAGAGAAGATCGCGCATTACTTAGCAGACAGATTTCGTTGTTGTTTTAGAGTTCCCTGAAAACAATTTTCTTCATTTCATCAAGCAAAAAGCAAGTAAGACATTTTCAAAGTAGTTTATGGATCGAAAAAAGGAGACTGTGGACTTACTCTGATTCAATGAATCCATTTGTGTACACTCTAAGCATGAATTCGGCTTCTTCATTGGGCTCAAATGTTGATGGTACGATTACGTAGTTGCCGGGTGGAACACGGAATCTACCAGTCATCTAGAACAAACAGTTTCGTTTTTTTGCGAATTTAAAAAAGAAGGAGGAAAAATTTCTTGGTGACTTAGAAAAAAGAGAAAAACGGTAACTCCGTTTTTATCGCATTTGCATATGCATCTTATGTTTAGAATCTTATATATAAAGCTTAATGTCTACCAGTCTGTATGTCCTTTTGTACAAATGTGCGGAATAGAAATTTTTTTCCTGAACCAATCCGGACCAAATTTGGCACACATATGCTTCGGGGCGCGGAGCTTGTCGTAGGCTACTCGTCGTTATTGATCGATGTCGATTATTTCGATTTGCAAATTGCAAGCCACGGGGCTAGGAGTTGGCACAGGGGGATAAATGAGCATAATTGACGGGGCCGGGGGAGCCGGTTATGCCAACTAATTTCTAATAAATCCCACGATGGACTAGGGACCATCCCAGAAAATTCTTAAAGGCAGTGTCCAGGCTAAATCTAACCCCCTCCAATTAGGGCTGATCCTGAATGTAGATCGCACGAGAGGAGCATTTGCCTAGTCCTCTAATGTTGTCTCTGAATGAAGACAAGGGGCTTGGAACAGCCAGAGATCCTATCCCCCCCCCCCAGATCCTATCAGATTCCGCCCACTCATGTACTGAAAGCCGCCCGCGCCCTCAAGACAAGGTTTTCAGAAATCGAGTTTTTTAGAGATTTTGGACTATTTGAACTTCATAACTATAATCAGAAACACGGAAAGGCCCCGGAATGGCAAAAACATGGAGGCAAAATTTTGAGTGGACGCTGCCTCTATGGGCGTGGCATAAGCCGCTCGCCTTCACTCGAAAAAATTTTCAGACCATTTCCTCCCCTTCCCCCTCTCTTATCCTACACTACCTCTTCTTCACCTCTCTTTGAGGAAGCTCACCTCTCTCAAGTTGATGAAGGCAGCACTCCTCATCGAAGACTTGTTAGCTTGGAAGAACTGCTTCGACAATCGTCCATGTATGTTTCCAGCCTAAATCTCATTCGATTAGCTAGGAAACAACTACAAAGAAGCTATGTGACTATTAGAGTGGGACAGCACACACTATCAACATCTTAACGATGTGACTATTGTGGAAATATGACACTAATGCCACAGTTAGCTAGCAATGCAAACTAAAATAACAAAACGACAAAAATTAAATGAAGCAGAAAAACTGCTCTATAGCTGCTATATAAACGAAAAGCACAACCAAAATTTACCATTCAGGAAAGAACTCACATTTACCTGCAAGGTCGTCATTTAATAGTACGGTATCAGTGGTAAAAACAAAACTGGGAAATAAAAGTGGATTAGTGAAAATATAGATGGTATTTCTATGGTAGATTCTAGTATATGAACAGTAAACGAAAGGGAAAATAATAGATAAGAAAGTACTGGTAGAAGAATGCAACAAAGGAAAATCACAACTTCACGGGTTCAAAATTTTCTTTCTCAAGGAGACTCACATATGAAAGAAAGTAAATCAGTTTTAATGAGAATCTTCCAAATCTAGTTCCAAGAATCTTCATCATTTGAGTTCGAATAGCGTCATCATAATGGTCACATTTTCCCAAAAATTCTTTCTTCAGAGAAAGCTCGTAGATTTGTCCATATGTTTACGAAAAAGCAAACAGAAAAATTTTTCACATTTTTCGTACTTAAAATCGAATCTGAGCTTCATCTGAGGAAAATATTCTAAGAAAAACTAAGTGGGTTATGAAAAACTAATTACCAAAAAATATGAACCGGAAGTTCAGATATAGTCGAAGATGCAAGACAGATTCCATGGCAAAGAAGTCAAAAAGTATTCTCGAGTTGCAAAACCTGAGAAATGATAGTCATGGATAACTTTTGTTATTTAAACCCAGTAAACCTTAATTCTCATGTATGAAACTGTAAACACTCATTTTCTCAACAAACCTACTTTCTGCTCGTACTACCCCCAGTTTACATCTAAATTTACATCTAAAATCTGCACGAAATCCGATTGAGCTATGATAAATTATGAAATTATAAGGTTGAAAACTAAGAAGACATGCAGCTGACATACTTTTGTACATCAATACGTTTACTGAAACTACATTGAATGAAGACGCAACTATTCATATTCAGAGAATAGAGCACTCAGGACTCAGGATAAGAAATAAACGACCAGGACTCAACTGTTACTTCTTTACAGTCTTTAATCATAAAATCTGGGGAAGTTTAAGGTTTGGTAAATGTTTTGGAGCTAAATAAAAAAACTCACGTCATAGACGGCGAACCCAATAGGAACATTATCTAAGCCTTCAGCTTTCAAGTTTCTTCGATACTTTTGCATAACGGCAAAGATAACAGTGCACAGCTCGTCATCATCATCGGGATCAGAATCCGTCAACTGTACACGGTATTGAGGATTGTTTGCGAAAGTGTCTGAAATTAAAAATTGTCGTTAGGGCAGGAGAGGAGATTGGGGGGGGGGGGAGGATGAAGAAACAATCTAATGATCCCACTGATGTAGTTTCTGCAGCCTCCTGCTGTTTGGTTAGCGATCCAAGCTCCATCGTGGGTGTTTGCTGCCCAAACCATTCCCGGGGCTCGTACTCCAGTCATCTGAAGAAAATCAAGAAATGACGATGAAAAAGTGAAAAAAGATCATTTTAGTTACTCCAGATACAAACATCCATGCTAAGAACTGACATGGAAAATTCCATTCATAATTTTCTGTAGTATCACAATGCATGGATTGATGGAAGCAAGTGTAAATAGTGTGCTTGTGTTGTCGACATTTGCCGACAGCATCAGCGCGTGAACAAATTTCTACACATGTGATGCCTAATATTTGCGCGTGTATCGCGCACTTCGCTCACGCTTAAATGTTGTCGACAAAGTTGCACTGCAGAACACTATACTTGCCCAGATCTACCGACCTATACGTAGTAGAAACGTTAAATTGTTAGTTCTCACAAACCTGATAGACTTCATCCATAACATCAGGTCCCAGATTGCAAATTTCCATCTTTTCGAAGTACTTCATGAAATCCTCAAAGCTCATCCTAAATGCGACAAAATCAGAGATGTAAATTCCTTGGGCAGTTAGCACAATCATACTGTTTAGGTACTATATGTGCTCAAGGTTCTCTGGTTTTTTTTAAAGGATAATTATTGAAATTTACGCTGGAAAATATCTGTGATTCGCATGGCCTTTATTACTACCGGTTCTCGAACGAACAGATTAGATGCTCAGCAGTCCCGGTCCAGGATTTCCGTCGAAAAATGTTTTTACAAGGCTAGTTTGAATTTTTTGACAAAAAAAGAAATTATTTTGATTGTTTAAACAAGTCAATTGCATATCCTTGTAACCCATGCAAAGAAATTTCAAAAACTTCGCGACCCGTTCCCCCCCCCCCCCCTCCCTCCCGCGTCCCACGTCGCTCCGCCACTGATGCCTACTGATACTGTTCTCAAGAAAAAACACGTTTTTCCTTCATGCTGGCTCGGTTCCATAGTCCACCGCCGGATGGAGGCGGTCGTCCACATAAGCTAAGCGAGAGCACGCGGAGCGTGTGCGTCATGACTGTAACTCTGCGCTTTGCGCCCGCTTCGATTCGCAGAAACCGAATGTCTTCATCCGCCAACTATCTTAAAGAAAATGATTCGAGAAAAATTACCAGAACTCTCCATCGTGATCAAAGCGTAAGCCCATATCTTCTTTCTCTTGGCGAGATACACTACGCCATTCTTCAGAATTGTCCGACCATGGACCGTTCCATTCCTCAAATATGCAAATTGAATTTCTTCCAAATTTCCAGTAAACTCTCCAAAATGCTGCTTACAAACACCCTAAGCCTTTCTTTATTCGAATAACCAATATCAATTTGTCATAATTATTTGGAAAACCTGCCAAAAAAGTGTTCTCCGCCTACCTGCTCGTTACCCCATGGATTTCGTATACGAAGAAGGCATGTCTGTCCATATGGACCATTTACAATGCGCATACCAGTGATGGAATAAGCGTGACCCTAGAAGAATCGCAAGGATCGGAAAATTATCAAAAAAGAAAAATCTATGCGTAAAAATTACCTTTACAAGGCCGCAGGACATTTTCGCTTCCCAAACGTATGGATCGGCCTCGATCGAGCAAGCAAATAACGAGCCCATTTCGAATCTAAATATTTTGACAATTTTGGAGTGAGAAAAGATTTAGACTGTAAAAAATACCCTCTCATCATCATCTGCATCAGATTTCTAGGTGGCTGACGTAGATCAAAGAATTCTGTCAAACCACCAGTCATATCTTCAAGAGCTTCGGCTGTGGTACCTCCCTTTAGAGCTTCATATGAGCCGAAAAGCCTAAAAAATGCCAACTTAAGCATCTTGATGCGACAAGATAAGATACTTTAGCATATGCCTTCTCAAGATACTTACTTAGCATATGCCTTCTCCAGCAAAGCACTCCAGAATTCGTTGTTGCTCTTGGAGTGCATGTAGAGTAGCTCGCCGTTTGATGTGGGTAGACGATCATCGATTACAACATCTACCCATTTTCCGTACTGCCAGAATTGGAAGTGGAAAATACCTGAATTGGAAAAGTAAAAATGAAAATTTCCAAAGAGATTAGGAAGTAGAACTTCAGTAGGCGCTACTCAAGATCTACAGTTGGCAGGGTTTTTTTCGGTGTGACAAACAACTGACAAGGCATTTACGTAGAGAATTTTTTTTTGAGAAAAAAGTTACAAGCAGAGCCTGTCTATCATTGAAAAAAAAAACCAGTAGATCTTCTGATGATAACTCGGAATGATTTGCGCGCTTGCGAGCACCTCTCTTCAACTTCTTTATTGTCTAACCAACTGATATAATCACTGCAGATTTACGTCTTCAACATATATGTCTTCTTATATGGAACAATCAATACTTTGATCTTCATGTAGTTCTTGAAAAGAGAAAATCTAGGCGTTCAAAAAAAAGACTAATTTTAGAATTTTTTCGGCTGGATACTCAGCTTGTGCTTGTTCAAAAGATGTTGAAAATTATTGATCAAAATACACAGGGTGTCCCAAAAGTAAACACACACTTTTATCGTTAATGTCTCTCTTCCCATTGTGTCTTTTTCGCCATTTGAGTACCATTCTGTAGAGGAGGCTTCAACTTAGATTTACAATCTCGAGCAAATCACCGATCGCTCTTCATTACTGTAGGATTACTGCAGACACTTCGATAAGGATTTTAGGCTATAGGAAGCCTATTCTGCCTCGGAACAAAACCAAACAAGCAAAAACTCCTATACTACGGTAATGGAAGCCGCTGATTTCGAATATGAAATTTGCACTTTACTATGATACTTCTTTCCAAAGTTATCCCAGGTAAAACGTGATTTCCGAATTCCCAGTATTTGCCAGAAATGTGATTATACCGTCAAAAAATCTGAAAACACTCATAAGAAGTTGTTTAGTGGAATTAGCGTACGCGAAAACCCTAGTACACGATTTTTCAGATTTTTAAAAAAAGCATATTCCACAATGGTTCCACTTGCTGGAAGTTCTTACCGTAATCCTACAGTAACGAAGAGCGATCAGTGATTTGCTCGATACTGTAACTCTAAGTTGAAACCTCCTCTACAGAATGGTACTTGACTGGCAAAAAAAGACCAATTGGGAAGAGAGATACTGACGATTGAAAAGTATGTGTACTTACTTTTATGACATGTATATGGCTGTATATGGCTTTCAGAACAGATTTACTCCAGGATTTGTAAGTTATACCATAGTAATACAATTCTTCAAAAATTTCAGGAGCATTAATGAAAAAACCAATTCACATACCGGCATAGTTCTCAGTAAAGGACTGATCTGGAGGAACGACACGATAGAACAGTTCGTCTTTCAGCGTCAAATTGGCGGCAGCAGCTAGCAACCAGCAGTCACCAAGTTCACCCTAGAATATTAACATCCATAACTGACATTTCTCGTAGCAGTGTGAGGAGAAAATGCGCCAAAATCTCCGCACTTCCAGGAAAAATGTGAACAAGAAAACCGAAATATAAATTTTGCGGAGTTTGGAGTGTTTTGTTTGAGGCTTCAACATACTCTGTTCCAATCGGGATCAGGCCCCAAAACGCGTGAATTCGTGCGCTTGTTTGCGCTCCATATGCGCGCTGTCAAAGATAGCGAAGAAATTGGAGAGAGAGAGAGAGAGAAAGAGAGAGAGAGAGAGAAAGAGAGAGAGAGAGAGAGAGAGAGAGGGATCGGCCATACTATTCCTGCTATTCCTACGACTCCTGCGATTCCTGCGATTCCTGCTCAGGGATTCGCTCCGTGCGGGCGGATTGCCACGCCGCAGCGAGCGGGCGCCGGTGTTGCGGGCCGTAGCGGTATCGCAGCGCGCCCGCATGACGGTGGGTTGCCGCACGCACGGGGTTGATAATTTTGAACACTCACATGTGAGTCCCGCACAGTTTATACGCCGCTTAAAAGCGCGCGTGTTGCGTGTTACGTGTTGTTTTACGCAACATGCGCTCATTTAAGCGGCGTTTAAACTGTGCGGGACTCACAGGAATCGCAGGAATAGCAGGAGTCGTAGGAATAGTATGGCCGATCCCAGAGAGAGAGAGAGAGCAAACAAGCAAGCAGTAGACGTTACGCAGACTCGTAGAGATGCGAACATACATGTGAAAAGGCGATAATGTGTTCCTACCCCCTTCACCCCAGGGCCGGAACCCAGCTGACCCCCCTTCACCCACGGCCGATGAGGAACTAGAAAAAGTGAGACTAAGAAATCAATATTTTCAGCAAAATTATAAAACTATCAGCATTATTAAAATCAAATTTAGTGACATGTTGATTCTCAATATTATTAATATGATCATCAAAAACCTATTTGCAGGCTCACTGAGAAGTACAGGAAATTTGCCGCCTATTGTTCACTTTTAGAGAACGATGAAAAAGCCTGGAGAAAAATTTATGTGTGAAGCCTTTGTGTATATACGTCAATGAAGTTATTACTCACGTATTTGCTGAAATAATAAGTCAAATAATAAATGAACTTTGATAATTGGTGCGCAGTTGAATTGCATTCTTTTTAAGAGGTATAAATTTTCTAAGCAGATGGCGGAATCCGTGGAAAGTCATTGAATGATTCCTTAAAGAGTCATTGTTCCAACTTTTAATATTATTTTCAAACTCCGAAAGAGATCGTAACATTTGCGTAGAGAAGCAGATGCAACAGAGGCACCTATTACATCCAAGACTTTGTGTAATCAGAGTTAGTCTTACTGTCAAAATGTTATAGCCACGAGGATCGTGAAGTTTTAAATCCGCCTACTTGGACGATGATAGAGATGAGGAAAGCAGCCAGAGAAGCATTTTTCCACCTTGGAGTACCATACAAGAGGAGAAGGACAATCGCATGTGATCACTGCGTGATTATGCTGGAAAAAGTTTGTTTCCCGTCAAAGAAGATTGAGAAATATAAAAGATCTTAGCAGGAAAACGCAGTCATAATTAGCCTAGTCTAGATTAGAAGTCTAGTTTCCATCCGCTTTCAAAAAACATACAGCTTGACAGGAGAAAGAGGAATTTAATTCTGCCGGTAGAGGAAGTTTTAGTCATTTTTTCAAAATTGTAGAGTTTTTCTATAAAAAATTGTAGATTTTTGATATGAGAAAATAAGAGTCTCTAGCCATACATTGAATTACTCTTGTTGAAAGCTTTTAGAAAATATATAGCTTACCAAGAAAGAAAGGATTTTCCTGTATTGTGAAGGTGGTCGCAATTGTTTTTCTAAAATTGAGAAATTTTTTTTATAAAAATTCATAACTTTACTATACGAAAAGCTAGAAGAGTGCTTTGCACTCTATTGGAGTCCCCTCGTCGTTCGCTTTCAGGAAATATATAGTTTGCCAGGAAAAAAGAGGATTATCCTATCGGGTGAAAGGGGTCGCAGTCTATGTTCCGGAATTAAGCCAATTTTTGACTTAAAAAAATCATAACAATTTTATATGAGAAGCTAGGAGAGTGATTAGGTGTTTATTGAATTCCTCTCGTCGTCCGCTTTCAGAAAATATATAGGTTGTAAGGAGAGGGATGCTAAAAGTACGTGGTGAAAGGGGAGGGAACATGGTATAATGGAAATCTTCCTTTCTGTACTCAAAAAGCGTCGTTTTTAGGAGCTAAAGGAACATGCCCATTATACCATGTTCCCTCCCCTTTCACCACGTACTTTTAGCATCCCTCTCCCTACAACTTATACATTTTCTGAAAGCCGACGACGAGAGGAATTCAATAAACATCTAATCACTCTCCCAGCTTCTCATATAAAATTGTTATGATTTTTTTAAGTTAAAAATTGGCTCAATTCCGGAAAATAGACTGCGACCCCTTTCACCCGAAAGGAAAATCCTCTTTTTTCCTGGCAAACTATATATTTCCTGAAAGCGAACGACGAGGGGATTCCAATAGAGTGCAAAGCACTCTTCTAGCTTTTCATATAGTAAAGTTATGAATTTTTATTAAAAAAATTCCTTACTATTAGAAAAACAATTGCCACCTTCACAATACAGGAAAACCCTTTCTTTCTTGGTAAGCTATATATTTTCTGGAAGCTTTCAACAAGAATAATTCAATGTATAACTAGAGACTATTCTATCTTCTCGTATGGAACAGTTACAATTTTTTATAGAAAAATTAGCCAATTTTGAAAGAATGACCTAAACTATCTCTACCTAGCAGGAAAAATCCCTTTTTTTTTCTGGCAAGCTGTAGGTTTTCTGAAAGCGGATGGAAACTAAACTTTCAAATTAGACTAGGTCTATGACTGATTTTCCTTCTAAGATCTTTTAAGTTACTCAATCTTCTTCGATGGAAAACAAAATTTTTCCAGAATAATCAAGCGCCAGCAATAATTTACGATTGTCCTCCTCTTCTTGTATACTGCTCCAACGTAGAAAAATGTACTTCTCGCTGTCCTTCCTCATCCATATCATCATCCAAGTAGGCGGATTGTAGAACTCCACGATCCTCGTAGCTATTGCATTTTGACAGTGAGACTAACCCTAATTACACTAAGTCCTGGATGTAATAGTACGTGCCCTTAGTTGCACCTTCTTCTCTACGCAAACGTTAGAATCTCTGTCAGAGTTTAGAAATAATATTGAAAGTTGGAACAATGACTCTATAAGGAATCAATCGATGACTTTTCACGGATTCCGTCATCTGCTTAGAAAATTCATTCCTCTTCAAAAAAATGCAATTCAACTGCGCACCGATCATAAAAGTTCATCTATCATTTCACTTATTATTTCAGCAAATACGTGAGTAACTTCATTGACATATATACACGAAGGCTTCACACCTAAATATTCCTTCAAGTATTTTCGTCATTCTCTAGAAGTAAAGAATAGGCGGCAAATTTCCGACGTACTTCTCAGTAAACCTGCAAATAAGTTTTTGATAATCATCATAATAATATTGAGAATCAACATGTCACTGAATTTGATCTTGATAGCCGATAGTTTTATAATTTTGCTTAAAATGTTGATTTCTTAGTCTCACTTTTTCCAGTTTTTCTTCTCCGAGTTTCAGCGGGTAAAACCCATTATTCGACTTTAACCCGGTTTGGCTACAATTTCACTTGATGCATGTGAATGAAAAGAACATGAGAAGCATGATGACGAACATTGCCCCCCCCCCCCCGGTCGACGCACCTCCACAGCCGCGGCCCTCCCTCCCCCCCCCCCCACCCACCAGCGGCCCTCATACCCCCCTTCACCCTGGAGAGGCGGGACCCCTATGACCCCCTTCACCCTGGAGAGGCCATGTTCCCCCTTTGCACACGTATGGATGCGAATGCGCATAAGTCCCTTTTTGGCGCATTGCGGATTGGGACAGACTGTACTATGCATAAAAAAGATATAAAGAAAAGAATTTCATAGCGCGAAAGTTTCTGTTGAGAAATCTAGATGATAGAACAAACTTGATTTAGTCTCTTTATAGAGGGAGACGGTCAAGAGGCGCAATTTTTTCGGATGTCACCAACTTAAGGTCCATTTCTGTACTACGCAAAATTTCAAAAGTCGAGACATAGTCGTTTATCAGTTGTCCAAAGTTACCATTTGCTTTTGCTGCAAAAATGGGCGAAATATTCACGAAGTTGTCATTATTAATTTTATGGGTTTTTGGGTTTTTTGAGTTCATGGGTTCCTCCAGCATTTTTGTTTTGGATCTCAAGATGATATGATCAGACCGCCCATGCAACGATCTTCTATATCTTCTTACAAATTTGGAAGGCCTCTAAAACGTTATTAAACATTTAAAATGTGCAATTTGATGTCCAGCTGGCAATAAGAATCACGCCTCTTGACATACACCCTTTCGTAAATATATACACTTCGAACCATCTTCTAGTAAAAGGTTACCTGGATAACATCGAAACGTGAATGTCCCTCGGTGATGAGCTGGGGCTCACGAACAATCTCCTGAAACATCAATTTTGAGCATGGCTACAGGATCAGCCGTTTGGTACAAATGTGTAAAACCACCAGGGTAAACATAGTGATGCAAAGCTCCTTCTTTGCTCCACCAAGACAAAATGGATCAAACACAAAACCGGCACAACAAAAAAAATACAAGCAAAGGAGAAAAAAATATCAACTAACTCCAGGTCTGAGCCATTCGATCATCTTTGGTGGTCTTTTGCTGAAGAATAGCGAGCTATCCTGTGCTGGGAAATGTGGATCTTCAAAGAGTCGCTTTTCCTGCAAAGAATGAAGGTCCTCTGGGAAATTTGAGGATGTCGCAACAAATGTATCGAGAAATTGTAAAAAGGCAATTGCATGCAAATAAGGTAGAAAAACCCTCTCACTTGAAGACATCTGTCTCGCTCAGCATAGAAATCCAGTGGCTCGTGTGATGGAACAGGTCTAATTGGGCTTGGTCCAACTGGACCTGGACGTGGTTCTGGACGTACGAATGGGTCCACCTGTATGAGAAGTGGGTAGATTTCCATTTTCATTCAATTTCAAAGGAATCATAAAAAACTCACATCTCTCCTGAATTTTCCGGAAATGATGTTATCGAGGATAACTTTTCCAATATTACCAAGTGAGTTATCCTTGCCTCCAAGTCCCATAATAACATTTCCAGCTACGGCACCTAAACGCAAAATTTGTCCAAAATTGAGGCAGATGTTCCAGGCATTTGCACCAACCAATAATTCTTCCAGTGGCTGGATCTACACCCAAAAAACGATGAGCAGCTTCACCAATCAATTCACCAATGATGTTCACCATTCCACCATTCAAACGGTTGGGATTGATGTTACCACCTAGACAAATTATTATTGAAGAGTTAAAAGGAATAAGAAGGATGTAACGGACCTCCGCCATTATACTGTCCAGCGCCACCGCCGATAAGACCACCAATTGTGTTGATGACGCCTATACGAAAAACATTTACATACACCAAGAAACAGTATCCAGACAAATTGGGTATATGGAATATTCATGTGTAAGCAGATTGGGATGGCTCAACTAAAGCACTGCTCGAACCATAGCTAGCGTGCTTAATTTGTGGCAAAGAAATTTGGCTCTAAACTCTCGCCCAATACCGTACTCGTGGCTGATTGCTCGAGAAATTACGGTAGTGGGCACGAGCTTGAAACTCAGTTTCTCTATCGCGACTGAATCATACTGCTACAACTCAATAAATATAAAATTACCTAATTTAATTAGAATAAGATACCAGAATCTTTCTAAAACTGCCTTTTGGTGGCTTGCAACATAACCTTTGATTGAACTGGATTGGCGGTTGGAAGGTGGAGTTTTACGACCTAATTAAGGCCGCTCGCGCCCGCGACGCAGTCTGCGTCTCTCTCGCCGCGCGCTCTCTGGTCATTCCCTAGCCCCCTAGGTCACGAAGACCCGCCTTTCAGTCGCCAATCCAGTTGTTCAAGGGTAAGGCAAGCACAAAGCTGTTACCGTAGACAATCGGTCTTTGCCTTCTTCTATGTCTTATAGATCAAAATTTTTGTAACGAAATGAAGATAACAGAGATAACTTGCCTCCGAGATTGTTGAAATCAAATCCACCGCCACCTCCACTCGGTCCACGGCCACCGCCGCCGCCACCGGTGTAACCACCACCGCCGCCGAAACCAGCTCCATCGTAAGCACCGCCACCGCCGAAACCTCCACCACCATTGTAACCTCCACCGCCTCCTCCACGACCTCCTAAAAATTGGCCTCGTTCTTCATGCTTGATAAAATTCCACATGATCCGGATATTTCAGATGAAAAAAAAAGTGTTGCAAATCGTTGTCATCGTTAGAGATCAAACAGATACTTCACCGAAACAGTTTCCTATGGTTTTAGGTTCAGAAAAAGATGGAAAAATAAGTTTCTGAAACCAAATAGTTTTGTATAAAACAATGAAACCATTCATCACAACATAGCGTACCACAACATTGCAAGCAACTTTTCTGCAGAAACATCCCAATAAAGGTAGTTTTGACAATTTTGACCAAATGATCGTACCTCCTCCGCCAAGGAAGCCGCCGATGAGGTCGCTCATGGGGTCACGACCTAAATTATTCATCTATATAGTGGAAGCCAACGATGCTCAGGGGTAATTGTTAATCCTAAAACAAAGGCTGGACTTTCGCATGCAAGGGTGTACAGATGTCAGTGATCAGGTGCAGGTTGCTCTCTAAACTACATGAGCGATGGTTCACAGCATTTAGTTCTTGTACATGTAACACTAAAGATTTAGGAGGGAAAACAAACAGGATTAAAGCAACATCCGGAGTTGCCCGTGCCAGTGCTGTGCCAGAACCGTTCCAGCTCCGTCCAAAGCGCGGTGCAGGACTCAAGCGGATGTGCTGCGCATTGATCGACAGAAATTAAAGCACAGCGCTGATAGGCGCCGAAACGGCACTGGATCATCGCTGGCACGGTGCTGCAACGGCGTTGGCACGGAGCTGGCACGTGCAACTCTAAAACGAGAAAAAATGCCAGGTTGTAAATTATTAGAACTCTTCAGTCGGTTATTTCCACATCAATCATTCGTTTCCCCCGAAAAGTTTCATGAAACACCACAGAAGCAGAACAGTCAACAACAACAATAAGCCGAGTTCAGCCGTATACTAACGCGGTTTTCACTGGACCTACGGGGTCCACGTCGAACCTTTTTCCTTCTCCTTTTTCTTTACGCCAATCAGTCCGCCAAGGAAATTCAACGCTTTCTTTCCTTTAGATTTCTTCTCTGGTGGTGGTTCTGGCGGTACTCCACCGCCACCGAAGAAGCCACCACCACCATCGTAATTATTATTATAGCCACCTGAACAAACCACGAACACTGAACTGGGCACGAACGACACAGATACACAATACAAATGTTAAATTCGGCAAAGTGAAGACCCTATCCCGAAAGGGAAGGTAATTAGGGTATAAGGGTAGCAACACAATTTTGCAATAAGGAAAATACACTTTCTTGCATTCTGCACGAAGTTTTGCTTAGAGTTTCAAAAGAAAGAAAAATCATAAGAATTTTTGAGCAAGTATTTTAAAAGACAAGCGTTACATTTGCAGTGGAAATTCTATAATAAAGAGGCACAACAAATTTATATCACATCTTAGAGTAGATTCAGATAGCCCGTGCCAGCACTGTGCCAGCGCCGTACACAACCGGCAAAACGCTGGCACCGCATCGTCGTTGGGACATTTCTAAGCGTAGCTACGTTTGGAGTAACACTGGATTCTATGAGAAAGTTTCAAAGAAGTGAAATTACTGCGTGCATAGGCTACCTATTAAGAGAAGTCAAGTTCAGACTTACCACCGCCGCCACCACCAAGAACATTTCCGGCAAGTCCACCTAGAATGTCTCCGGCTGGGCCTCCAACCTGGAATAAAACAAAAATTTTGAATGAAACTATGAATGTGAAAGTGAAAGTTGAAATAAGTAGTAAAAATCGATAGGCATTAATCTTAGGTGTTTTTGGAATAAAGTAAGACAAATTTAGTAGAGACATTTATTCATTTATTTTCTACTAATGAACCAGTAATCAAAGGCGCTAGATTGCATCCGCGCGCTTCGGGACCGCTTTACATATTAGATTTCTTATTACGTTACATAATTGCAAATTCCTAAATAGCAAATCCTGAGGATACGGCTGCATCAGTGATATAGAGTAGATAATATGCTCTAATCTAAGATTTCGATTCAAAAATAGTATTCTCTACTTCCTACCACTTCAATATTTTGATAAGAATAATTTCACGATCAGGATATATCCGAAAGGGATAGAGGAACGGGAACCGCCATTAGGCACCGCCTCGCAGACTAGGTCTTCATAAGACATGCGACAACATGTACAAAAGGACCAGTTGTCCGCGCATGGAAGCCGGTACTTTTGGCGGTTCTCCACCCAAAGGAAACGCCTTAGGTCTCAGCTGAATTGATACCCTTACTTTGAATAACAGAGTTTCTGATGAATTTCCTTACCCGATCACGAATCAAGTTTCCAGCGATATTTCCAATGAATCCGCTGAACTCATCTCCTTTTACCGTCACCTAAAAAAGTCACATTTAGAGATGTATTAACACATGTTTATGTTTTTTATAACCTTTTGCATCTGATCATCTTCCCCCATGTTTGCAGGTGAGGTTGTTGGTTCGTTGTTTGTAACCTCCTTTTGATAGTATTCGTCGGAAACTTTGTTATCCGGATCTGCAGAGAATAAGTTATCATTACAAAAGCTCTTCAGCACAGAAAATCGATAACGTGGGCCTTTACACAGAGGAGTGAATAAGAGAGATGAGAATAAAGGAAACAGTGCAAGAAACAATTCAATCATTTTTTTTGGCATGCCCTTCATTAAGCGTTCTAGTAAAAAATGCAGGAGTAACATTCCTCATTGACTGATAAATTTTCTCATTTATTATCATTTATGATTTCATCTGACTTACGATATATAGCTCATTTCAAAAACCGGTTTGAGTAAAAGTTCGAACGGGGTGTTATGAACAATGTCCGAAAATTCTTTGAAGTACACAAGAGCAACAATGGTGTGACTGAAACTTTTGAAGACTTTTGAAAGGGCACAAGTTTTTTTTATAAAAAATAACAATGATAACAAAAGGCCAGCAACGAAATGCAATAAAAAAGAAGACGGACTTGCAAGTATAACATCATGGTCTGAATGATGTAAAATTGAGGTACGAATGATTGATATGAAAATATTCATCTTCATCAGGAACTTTTTATGCTTCCTTAACCTGTGCCATTAAATGCGTTCACATCAAATTGCTTTATGGGAGAAAATATCAAATTACACTTTAGTAAATTGTGAGCGTTCAAAAATTAAACAAAGCCAGCCATTTCGGAAAAATAGCATAGTTTTAAGACATGAATTACAATTAGATTTTAGTGAAATAGAAAATCTCTGACATCAGCATCAGGGAGAAAGCTTGTAGTCAAACAAATGAAATTAAAGCACCTATCACGTGACAAAGGAGATATCAGAAAAGATCATGTATTTTTTCTAGTCAGCACGTCATATGCTTTTTCGAATGATTTCTGCCTAAGGTGCTCAACTATTGAGCGGTTTAAACATTGTTATCATCACAACTCAAGAGAATTAATGGTTGGTAACTACAGAAAACGATGCTGATGGCTGACCGAGCAATATAATTTCGGCAATCTTACGTATCTCAATGCCAAAATGAAAATATCGAAAATAACGTAGGCATGACCGTTTTTACGTTTCGAAGTCATTTATTTTGCTCTATTGGAGCGAAAATAGGCAATGCAGTAGTAGTGGGCAAACAACATTACCAACCATTGAACAGCAATAACATTAGGGACATTTCAAAAAGAGTTTCCGTTGGACAACTAGTTAGCAACAAATGGAAATTGATTCACAAATGAAAAAGGAGCATGTTTTCCAGCAAAAGGTACTGAAACACGAATTCTGGTTACGTTCAACTTAAGTAATAAATTGCAGAAAAGGAAGAACTCAAACGCAATTCTGAGAGTATCTTTGAAATAAGAACACAGGTACAAATTGTGTTATTGCTTCGCTAATAGTAGCCAACACCCACCGCCATAGCATTAGTGTAATGAACAATTAAGGCGCCAATGCGCAAAAATTGACGACTGCACGGAGCGTTTGTGTAAAGTTTTTAGCTGCAATAAAACAAAATGGCGAACACAACTTGTACTCTAACAGAAGAAAAAAATCATTCAAAAATAAGGAATGACCTTTTAGTAAATATACGGTGATAATGTTATTACATTGCCGACAACGTCAGGCGTAGAAGGCGAAGAACTTGCTAATGTGTGTGCTCTATAGCCATTTTTTACGCGCAAAAGTTGCCATCACCTTAGAAGCGTTATACACCCAATCCAGACTTTGAAAAGGTATTACACAGACTCTGATGCTCTTCATGTTAAGGCCCCGGTCAGACTTCACGCGACTTAATCGTCGCGATCTAATCGCCAAGATTTCCATTCATTTTCATTTCACATTCAAAAATTTCGGGCTGGAAAAGTATCACAACCGAATGCAAGTTGATCGGCATGGAATGATATTGTAACAGTTGTCTCGTCGCGATTTAGTCGCGACGATCAAATCGCGTGAAGTCTGCCCGGGGCCTAAAGGAGGTATTACGATTAGCATGATCTTATAACATTGCTCGTTAAAATTGCTTTAGCGCATCTAGAGTGCTATCTAACGTTTTTGCATTACTGGAAAGTACCTGAATACGAAATCGTTACGCTTGTTAAAATTTCGCTAAAAGAATTTGTTTGCAAATAAGCTGTACTATTATGTACACAATATGAGACAAATTAATCTTGACGCAGAATGAAACAGCAGACAAAGAAGAACTATAGGAGTCACTGTGAGAGGCGAACGAACAAAAACAAGCAAAACTGCCAGAAAAAAAAAATGCTTGGTAGCGTTCTTATCGCTATCAAAATTGTGTCAGAAGAAAGTGTAGGTGTAAAAAACAGCTCACAGGGGTGCTTTCTTCTTCAAGTCAAATAAACACGCTTCGATAGTATACCGTAATGGACGAGGATAAATAGATTTGAAAAGTAAGTTATGTCATGAAACACTGAAATCGTACTACACTGCGAAGTCGTCCATTCAGTAGAATAAACTTTGCATGCAATTGTCTAAATATTGATGACTGGCAGTTGCTAATAGTAATAGCTAAGGTTGACTGAAACTTTATCGCCATCCATTAGTGAATATATAGAGCATTTCTATGTACTGCTGGTAGATTAAAAATACTAAAAAAATTTATCTGGTGATATGTGAATCACTGCTGAAAAAGGGCACGCAGAAACAAGAATGAGTGACACTTAGAGCTCCAAGTTCAATTTTGACGAATGTTGCGAACTATGGTTTTTTTTATTGTTGTAGCTGCTACATGCTAGAGCTAGGCTAACAATAAAAATACTGATAAATATTGCTATCCCTCCCTTAAGACATATTTGACACTGATACTTCAAAGAACCTAATTTGAGAAGATAGAACGAGTTTTCTACGAAATTGTTGAACATGGTCGAAAGTTTGAATGGTTTGCTATACAAACAATCAAATCTAAGTTTATCAACAAAGTTCGAAAAATATTACTCGTATTTGAAAAACCAAAAAGTTAAGCTTGAAATCTCTACCAAACTGATAGATTGCAGCTTTGCTGAAGTTCGTGGTAGAAAGACTCTCACAAAGCAAGTTTGAGTGTGAAGGTCATCCGCCTGCAAAAGCGATTTTCTGCCCCTCCACAGATTAGTCAGCGCATCCTTTTTCTTGCACAACGATGACTCAAAAGATATAAACTGAAGTGCGAGTGTACAAAACTGCAAACATTGTACGCCGGTCATAAACCGATCACTTTCTAGATGATTTACACTATAATCATATTGACTCATTGCTTTGCTTGCACAAGGCAAAGAAGAAAGTAGAAGATGGTTTTCGGTCATCGCAATGAGTAGGAAAAGAATTGTCAGCAGCTCAAAATGAGAATACATAAATTCAACTGCAATTCAGTCTATTTCAAATCAATCAGCAATTCATCAAGGTGGTCAATGCGCTTCAAATCAAAAAAGAAAAAAAATTATAAATGAAATTATCATACATCTAACATGAAATGACAAGCCTTTCATTTAGCATTTAACCCTCTAATTAACAAGAACATAACAGGGATTGCTTTCTCGACAAAATATACGCTCAGAAAACGAAGAGCTTGACTTATAAAAAATTCGTTTGCATCCGAGACCCTATAATTGTAAAAACAATTTTGACGGATTTTCATAGCGATCTCCATAGAAATTGTCATGCATATCTATGGAAATAGTAAAATATATTTAGCTGGCACGTTTTAGTCCGCCCTATAGGGATTCCAAACAAAATACTGTGGTTGTTTCATCTATCTTTTAAACACCACATATTCATTTTCAATCTGGATTACACTTTACAAACAAAAAAAAACGATTGGCAAATGTGTATTCGAAATAACACAAGATGGGCATCCCTCCATTTTTTTCGCTCTTAAGTAGCCCCGCTTGGTCGTATCTTTCTCAACTATATCCACGTCATTTTCGTCGGATCCATCCTCCTGGGACGATGAGTCACCCCAAAGAGCTTCCCAACAACATCGGAATCGTTAACAGAATTGTGCAGACACAATCAACTTTATGCAGAATGGTGAGTCATGGACCACATAGATGGCACGACGAAAATGGCAGTCAATTGCACTGAACTAGTTTGCAAACGATAAGAAAAAGCACGCGGAAGAATGTAGACTCCGAAATTACCCCTTTTTCGAAAGTCAGGCCTGCGAACGGACTGGATGCATGAAGTAAAGTTTGAGTATGTATTTTCTCCTGCAAATATTGCTGCCAACGACAAACTCTCCCAACTTCACACCCACCGTTCAGGTTACATATCAAGTTACTCTCTTACGAAGGTACAGTACACTAAGACACAAAGTACACTCGGGTTTCGCTAATTTGTGCATTTGCACATTTTCCAGGATAATGGCAATGTTACGCAAATCACCGAAGTAAAAGAAGTCCATTGCATAAAATCAACTTTCATAAGACTGTCTCTGAACACAAAAACCAAAAAACAAAGGTAGAACCCTACTCTGGAGGGTGTGCTTGCACACTTTAGCAAGGAAACCAGTATATGCACTTCAAGTAATATTGGTCAAACAAGCACCTACTAAAACCCTTCAAGTAGTTTTTCTAAAGTTTCGTAAAAGTACTAAGGCCAATTGAGATGGGAACAAATGCCAAAAAAGAGCGGAAGTAGAATTTGCAATTTCCAAGGCACACAGAACGACCAGAATGCACATAATGCATTGGAATAAACAATTGGCAGCTCCAGAAAAGCACTATAAAAAGGTTAAAAAAAAGACGCTTCAGCAATCATTTCCTGTACTTCCTCTACAGATCTACTGACTGAGCTGAAAAAGACAATTGCCAAGTTGAGCACACCACAGTGCAAATAGACTGAACGACGCCTAACGGCAGCAACTAGGGAACTAGTTAGGACTAGACCGGTCTATGACAACAAAATACAAATACATTAGTGAGATATGAATACCCCAAAAGCGGTACACAATATAAAATAGCTAGGTATAGTCAGATCTATAGGAAGATTTGACGACCACTTTGAATGATGATGAGAAGATAACCAAAGAATTTCTAAGAAACGCTATCGAAAATGGCAGGTTTGTGCTTATAAAAGCCAGAAACCCTAATTCGCTAATTCGAAAATTCTCACGCTTAAATTCATATTTCACATGCATAATACGCAAACGTGGTATAATTCAATAAAATATCACGAAACGGCATTGGAAACACCTCTGGTTTTGTTTTGTTTTTACGTAACACCTTGGGCGAACAAATATAAATGTGGATAAGTGAAAATTAGGCAATAGGATTAGGCATGGAGCCTTAATAGAACTAAGCCGTAACATTAACAGAAATTCCTGAGCAACAATGTTGGCTGTTTTCACATAATTCAGGCACGAATCATGAGTCAGGGCAGCTACGTTTCAAGAAGAATAATGAGTTCTCGAACAAGTCTGTGAAGAAACAACATGTGGCATCGATCGACAGAAAAGAAAAGCATTCATTAGCCCAGAATGGCTCAAAATGCGACAAAATAGTGGAGCCACATGTAAACAACACAGCTCTTGACCACGTGCAACAAATGTTGGAATTAAGAACACTTTGTCAAATTGTCCCGAGTAAGACTGTTTGCTCCGCTATAAATCTTACATTCTTGACAATTGCGGATTTATAGAGAGAGTACACCAATAATGCAGATATAGTCTTGATTCTGCATCAAAGTAAGCATTGATAATGAAAAAAAAACGCTGCCCAGCATAAAGATGAAACATTGTTTTCGTGGAGGGAGCAAAGCTGACGAGCCTGAGATGCGTGGCTATGATAGCCGTTCTTTGAGAAGAGTGACATCAAGCAGAAAAGAAAAAAACATGAACATTATATCGTTACCTACAAAGCCATTCACGATTCGAGCTAAAATTTCAAAAAAAAGGTTGAAATTTCAGCTCACAGTCATCTATCAAATCCCGATGAGTTGTTTGAGCAAAGTACAAAGGGATCTAGACCGTGAATGATGCATGTTTAAGCTAGTAGATCTCCCTATCAATATGGTACCCTTGCAATGCTGACGTCTACCTACAACATTTCGCATGAACAAATTGTTGCGCTTTTTGCCGGCAGTATGCGCTTGCAGTGCGCCCTGACATTTTCTCCACGAGAAAACGTTATCGGCAAATGTTGCACAGCAGGGGCACTATAATTACCGTTAGTTTACTAGCCTAACCTTGAATTTAACTGGCTTGGCGGCTGGAAGGCGGGGTTTGGTGACCTGAGTAAGGCGCCCGTACCGCAACGCAGTATGCGTCTCTCTCGCTCGCATGCTCTCTGGTCATTATCCAAACCTAACTAGGTCACGAAGCCCCGCCTTCCAGCCGCCAAGCCAGTTGAATCGAAGGATACACAATCATGCACCTGCAACGACTTCGATGCAAAAAAAAAAACGGAACAAGTAAACCGATGAAGACGTTGAACGGAAGCGCCATGGTACAGAGTTTCACTGGTAGATGTTATGATATCACAAAATTGGGACCGATCAATTTACGAAAGCCTAGCACTCGATGGACAAGCACATCTAAGCGTCCACGCCATAAAAAATGACAGACGTTAATCACAGTGCAAACATGTTTTCTTCACCAAACAATTGAGCACATTTTCACCGGAGTTTACTTTTGTGGATCAAAAATCGAAGTGCGCTCAAAGGTATAAAGTATGATTGAGACATTACAATGTTGCTCGATTTAGGGACACGAAACATCCGGAAAGAGTAGTAAAATCTGTTTTGAAGCCTTTACATGATCCGAACGAGGCACGGCAACAAGACAAACATTCTATAGAAGTGGGTATCATAGCGAGAGGAGTGTGCATCGATCGCTTGCAATAACAAGCCAACCATTGTTTACCGACAATATGGGTATTACACAATTCAGGTCTTTATGATAGAGAACGAGTTTCATCAAAAAGTTTGATGGAGATTAGAAAAGTCCAGCATGGTTACTGCTTGAAAGATTGTGATTTGGAAATCAAAAACAGCTGGTTTGCCAGTAGAACTACAGATCAGAAAAAGATTTGCGATAGATTTGAAATTACTGTATGTACTACAGGCCCAATATTCTAGTAGCCTCGAAAAATTTGACTGAAGTTCGCAAACACACATTTTTGGGTAATTGAAGAGTCAAAGCGGGAGCCATACTTAGTTTGCACACTGGATTAAACACTAAACGGCGGACCTTTGCCATTCGGTGTCGCGTACAGATTAAGCGTCATGTCCTACCTATGGAGTGTGCAAAACATCATTATACATACTACCGAGAACTCATCTGATTTACCCAAAAACAGAAGAAATATCCATAGAATTCTTCAATAACTGTATAAAGAAATCATTTCTCTGAAAATGGAAATGCACGAATAGACTATTATATTTTTGCTCAAGTACTGCTGAGGATAATACCATCTGCTTTAAGGAGAATTCGCACATAACCTGGGATGCATCTAAACTTGACATATATCAACTTCTGTATGATCCAAACTGCCAAACGAGGAAATCACCTCTGTCAGGTGGTAATAGTATAATGAAAGTTGTTAATGAAATCCATCAATCTGCTTCGTGAAAATGTGAAAGTGGGCAACAATTTGTGCTATACTGACAATCAAGATGTTTGCTCTTATATGGAATAGTGACAAAAATTCTAGAAATAAGAAATCTGCGATGCAAGTAGAACTGTTGAATAGAAGTTTGGCGTTACAGAATAGCTGAAGGCTTCAATTCCAAAAGAATTTGTAACAAATCGTGTTCATTTCAGTACTATTACTACCTCTTCAGAGAAACTCATGTCTTTCAGAAACCTTTTCTAGTCCAGTTCAAATTTCGCTAATTTCACACTTAAACTGCAAGGCAAACCTACGTATTCCATTCACTCCTAGCATAA